GCGAGTCCGCCGTCGCCTTGTTGCTGTAAATCAGCTGCTGGTTGATTTGGTTGCGGCGGAAAGCACTGACAGTGTCCGAGTTCTTGCCAAAGTGTGCCAGCAGAGGGGGCATGGCGTTGTCGTCCTCGCCAACATTGTCCTCCTGCTCATCGTCAGCACCGATCGAGCTGCTGGCAGCAAATGACGGGCGGCGGTTTGCAGGTGGGCCCATGGGTGTCGCCAGAGGTGTCAAGACATCGTCCTCATCTTGCACGCCGCTGTCCAGATCGAGAAACAGCTCGTCACCGGGCATCGGGGCCGGAACCGACAAATCAAACAACTCGTCGGCAGGGTCAACAACGCCATTTGCATCTCCACCTTCGGCCGTGTTACGGTCGAACTGGATAAAGTCCTCGATGCGAAGATTTGACTCGCCATCGTCCTCAATATATTCGCCGGAGAAGTCGCTATCTTCGGCAACGAACAGGTCGGAACTGAGATTGGGGAAGAAGGCCTCGATAGGGCCAATGTTGTGGGTCTGCATGTAGTCGCCCAATGTGTTGGACGAAATCATAGCACCCATCATAACTGACGAGGAATTGCTCATGAGCGGGGATGACTGGGTCACGTCGTTCTGGGGCGGAAGAAGAAGCGGGTTCAGGTCGAACAGAGGATCGGACATGATATCTAGGTGTTGCTGCGGTTGCTGCTGCTGCTCCTGTTGATGATGGGGAGCTTTCTGGGGCGTATAGATGACCATCTTGCCGGTATGCGGGTGGATGAAGGCAACAGGCCGCTTGCCACGCTTTGGAGTCAAGACGTACCGTCTGGCACGCGGCTGGCCCTGGCGCTGAAGAGGCACCTCCGCATCCGAGTCTGAGTCTGAGAATTCCTCGTCGCTGTCGATGAGCTGGATGCGGCGGGCCAGCTTTCGCCGGATGGGGATGAACTCTGGCTCTTCATCCTCAGTCGTATCGCCGTCGGCTGAGACGGACGCATTAGTAACAGAAAAACGACTATCAGAAACAAAAGCCCGATTGGCTTAGACTCACTTTCATAGCCATCAAGTTCAGCATCGTCCTCCTCCTCATCTTCGTCCTTTACTTTCTTGTCGTCTTCGTCTGCGAGAGCCTGGGGGAAAACATCCGCATTTGGATCGGGCAGCTCAGCGGCCAACAGGTCGGCATCCGAGAAGTGGATGAGGGGCTCCTGCTCGAGGCCATAACCGGAACTGTAATCCCAGAAGGACGAGCTCACGGATGAATCCGAGTCGTGCTCAATCTCGCGGCGGAAGCCGGGGTCAAGCGAGCCCTGCTCGACAAATATGTCGGGGAAGTACTGGCTATCACGCAGAGATACGTCGCTGGTGGTAGAGTCGCTGTCGCTGTCTGGAACGCCGGCAAAGCGTACCTGGCGCTTTGCGGGCGTCGCCCGGCCTCCAGCCTGGTTCGCATCCGATTCGGAAACACCGTTCCAGCTAGCACCGTCGTCGACGAACTTGGCCTTGAGAGCCAAGGTACCGTCGCGGTGGCCACTGTTGGTGTCCATGTCGTTGGCGAGCTCGGCAAAGTCGGCATCATCCAGCTCCTCCAACTCATCCTCGTCGTCGTCGTCGCCGTCATCGTCGTCGTCATCGCTAACCGCGCCGTCTGCTTCCTCTTCGTCGGCGTCTTCTTCTTCGTTTTGGTCAGGGGGCCGGGGAGAAGATGCGTGACGAGCCTTGGTCACGCCCTGAATTATATGCTTCTCCTCGGCCGCATACACATCCTCCTCGTCGTTGTCTTCGGAGTCGCTGACTTCTTCGAGTGCGGAGTATCCGCCGTCCGAGGAAAGGTCGAGGGAGGAGGAGACGTCGGAGTCTCGCCGACGCTTGGACTTGGCTAGCGCAGCCTTGCGGCGAATGTTTCGGGCCATGGTGGGCAGGGGTAAATTGTTCGTGAGGAGAAAGCAGTACTGCAGGGGGTAGTACCGCACCGAAAGAAAGGCGGTGAATTTTTTGAAAATGGAATATTTCTGTCAACTGGCGAGACAATAGCGTTTGATATGTTTCCACTTCTGTTGAATGGCAGGGGAAATGGCCAAAGAAGTCGATATCGGATCGTAGACACCTGGACCAAAAAGGTTTTCTGGACGTAATGGATTTCAAGACGGGGAGGGCGGTCAAGAAAATCTCGAGTAGGAGAGAAGGCAGGGATAATGGTAGGGTGTAGAAATGTGGAAATCGGTCTAGAAAGACAAAGGAAATAAGGAATAGGAGGATGAAATAGGAAAGAAAAGTCTAGGTCGAAAGCGGTATTGTTGAAGCACGTTTGGTTGTATCAAAGTCGAGGCGTTTGTCGCGAGGGATTCAGAATTTTTGGGTTGTGAGTGCCACGATCTGTTGCAAAGGTCGAAGTCGATCGTGGTCCCAGGGCAGCGGCAAGGCCTGGAGGGGGTAAACTCTAGTCGAGAAATAGAATTTGGCAAAGATCTTGATTTGAAGACGGTCGTTGAAACTGCGGGACTGCAGAACGCTGCCCTCCCTCTCCGTCACATTCGTCGACGGAATGGAGGAGAAGGAAGGCAGCGTCCCACAGTGGGCATTTACAGCTCAGCGACGGCGGTGTACATCTTGGGAAATTCTCGACAAAGTTTAATGTATGTTTTCTGGTGCTCTGAGCGGTAGGTCGACTTCGTTGTCTGGTAAGGGGTGTTGTTGATGTTTGGAGTTGAAGATGAGGAGGGAAGGAGAGGACGGAGAAAGATGGTGAGCAGAGGCGGCGGTGGGAAAAAGATATTTCTTTCATGGCTCCACTTTTTTCCCTTCTCTGTAACTTTTTTCCCTATCAAGTGTATCAGCGCATGTGCACAGTTGGCACTAAAGTCTTAGTGGGACATTTGGTCACAGAACGCCTCAAAGATCCACGACCACCGCTATTTCTCTAAGCATGGACGGCACTGTGCCACCAGTCAACTAAATCGGCGAGTCATACCAAAAGAGTCTTGCCAGAGTGCCATGCTTCAAGGGTCTCTCGATTAAAGAGTAAGAAAAGAAGCGTCGAAAAGACGAGTAAAGAAAGAAAACAAGCGTCCCAGTCGCGACTCGACTCGACACAACAGGCAAACACGATCAATATAGCAGTACACAGAGCCTTCCGCCTTGATTTACCAAACGGCCATTTCCAGAAACGGCCGCCCACCAAGGAGGACACAAATGCAAGCTGCAGGCTGTAATTAAACCATCGCTTCGCTCCCTTCCCACAAGCAAGGAAAAGACGACCAACCACGCTCTACCGTCCTTTGCCCTCTCCTGTCCCATTGGCACGGCTACTTCCCGCCATGTTGTAACAGCGGGTCCCCGCCCCTTGAGACGGGGCAGTAGACAGAGAAGCAGGAGAGAGCAAGCAATAAAACAGCCAGGACACATCGCGGTATCTTACACCGCCATTTCAACCACGACAATATCTCGACGCCGCGACGACGTGGCCGGTCACAACGGGCCGTCAGCTGCAAGATGGCCCGATGGAGCACATTCACGGTTCCTAAAGCACATGGACGCTGCTGGTGCTAAAGCAATTCTCAAATTCCAACCCTCCTAGTAATCGAGTATGGACACTGCGCACACAATGTACTTTTTTTTCCTCATTCTGTCCCTGTAGAAAGCAGGCCCTCTGTTCATACTTTCCGCACTGTCGCGTTCCCAAAAGCAGCTGCCAGGGCCGTCTGCCGTGTCTGATCCCCACTGCTCTGCATGTGCATTGGCCAACCCACAGGACTCCGAATTAAAACAGGCATGTCACAATGTCAAAAAGCAAGCGATGCCCACAGGAGCTCACTAATTTCCTTGTTGCCACAACATCCTATGAAACAGTGGAATAGCCTCCAAAGGCAAACGGAACACCACAGCAAGCTCCAATCAGCATCCTCTCCCCGACCCAAGGGAGCCAAGGACACTACCAGGCGAACTCCGGTCAGCAATATTCGAGGAACTTTGCTGCTCCACTGAACAAAGGGGCAACTACGGCGACGGGCGACCATCGCCCTCGTCGCCGTAGGCAATGATGCACTCCAGGCGCCAGAGATGTCGCTGGTCTCCACCGGGAGATCCGTCGACGGAAATTTGCTAGTGCCACCGCTCCAGCCGTCCTCGAAGGCCTCGGCCAGTGGACTTCCGTCATCGTTTCTCGAAAAAGTACCTTTGCCAAACCAAAGAGGCGTCCATAGCGACGAGATTTCCTGTCATGCGATGTCCCGTTCCGCCCGTACAAACAGGAAAGCGCGAACCTTCTCGGAGCCAGCTCCGACAGGGCAGCCAATCCTTGGCAGGCATTTAAACACCCCCTCCATCAGCGTTCACTTCTGTAGGGAAGGAAAGAGTCACCACGGCTGCTATGAGTCAGTTAACCCACTGGTGATGAGTTTTCTCTTGGGCAAGTAAGTGCCTCGTACCAACGGGGCAGGCACGACCAACTGTGCAGTGCGCGTACAGGGTACAGCGTACACTGAATCCATTTTCATCACTGTGTGACACCTCATCCGAATATCAACAACGCATCCATGCCATCTGAGACTTGCAGTACGACGTACGGAGTAATCACAAATATTCGAATCGTCGTTATGTCGTTTTCTAGGCAGAGCCGCCTAAACCCTTAACAAAATCCAGCCAACGCGGGGTCAGTGTCACGTCTTAGCCTCCGGTTGAAAAAAAAAAAAATGAAAAAGGACTCCCGGCCAAAAACTTTTTAGTGGGTCTGTTCTTATCTTATCGCAAGGCCGCCATCCCGTTGCCCGGTGAGCTCTGCCAGTCCCAATTAGGCAAGAGTAAATATACGGGACTCAAGCGTTTGAGGTTGTGCATCACCATGTGCTGTTTTGGTCCACCGAGATAGAGTAATCTATTGTCCGACATCAACCTTCTTGCATCACCGTCTTGTGCTCTCTTTCCGACGTATCTTTATACATTTCCATTTCATCTATTTACCTGCATGCATCAAATCTGATACCATTCGCATCACATCTCTTCGACTTCCTCATTATTCACGATGGATTCGCTTCCGTCGAACTCGAAATCACACAGCCTGTTCCAGGTCTACCTCCGACTGCGGCCACCACAGACTGGAGCCACCGCGGCGGATCGCTTCCTCGACGTAGAGCCGCCAGCAACAGATGCCGCGTCGACCGCACCGACTCACATTCGCCTCAACCCGCCCAACGACCGGCGGCGAGCGATTGAGAAGTTCTGCTTCACACAGGTCTTTGAGGAGGACGCCAGCCAGCTTGATGTTTTCCACTGCACCAATGTTGTTCCGCTGGTTGAGGGCGTGCTCGCACCCCATGGCGGTGAAGGCACCGATGCGCTGCTCGCCACACTCGGCGTCACGGGCTCCGGAAAGGTATCAACAGCTAGAGGCTTCGCCATTGTCATGGGCATCATCAGCAGCATCGGCGTTGCGAACACGTCTCAAACAGACAGACACTAACCAAATTCTACAGTCGCACACAATTCTCGGCTCCCGGTCCCAGCGCGGTCTAACACAGCTTACGCTCGACGTTCTTTTCCGCTCAATCGGCCACAACATTGCCGACTGCGCGACATCTTCGTCTCTCGAAGCTTCGATCAACGCATCCGACGCATCCGAAGCCACCATCTACACAGCATCGACTTTCCTCGACTCGGTGTATGCCGACGCTTCTGGCCCGTCCCACTACAGCTCGCGGGCTCCCACTCCCATGATCGTACGACCCCCTTCTCCTTATTGTCTCTCTGACGCGCCTCCCTCCCCAGAGCAGCAATATGAAAATAAAGACGACTTGCCGGAATGCAACGGCAGTCTCAGTGGGCTGCCCATACCAGGCATGTTTCCGACCAGTCCAAGCCCCAGTGGGCGTCAAACTGCAGGCCTTCGACAGGCCAGCGTCCGAATCGTCCGCCGCGAAGACTACGCAGTTCCTACAACAAGCTGTGCTTTGCCGGTACCAGTAACGCCCGTCAAACAAACAGCCGTAGCAAGATGCGGGCTGAATATGCTGCCAGGCCCTGGCAACAAGGCCAAGGCCAAGCCAGCCTCCTCTGCCAAAACGCCACGGACGGCGCGACGTTTTATGGCGTCCACGACCGCGTCGTCCAAGCAGCAAAAACACATGGATGCTAAACATTTCTTTTCACAGGGCGACTACTCGTCAGCAGGTGCACCGCCACCGCCAACCCCTCGCCGTCTTCTCAACCGACCATCTGCTTTCCCGCAACAACCCGACATTAGCGGTGTGAATGTCAACAGCGATCCGGGCTCCCAGTACACCGTGCTGGTGTCGATGTACGAGGTCTACAACGACCGCATCTTCGACCTGCTGACGCCACCCATCAAGTCAGCTGCGACCAAGGAATACCGCCGGCGGCCACTGCTGTTCAAGAGCACAGAGCTCTCGCCTGACCGGAAGGTGGTCGCTGGTCTGCGCAAGATCATCTGCAGCAACCTGAACCAGGCGCTGCTGGTGCTTGAGGCAGGCCTTCACGAGCGCCGTGTCGCCGGTACCGGTAGTAACAGCGTCAGCTCGCGCAGCCACGGCTTTGTGTGCATCGAGGTCAAGAAGCGGTCCGTACAGGGTCGTCACAAGGAGTCAGCGCTGTGGACCGGAAATGTTTTGACAATTGTTGATCTGGCTGGCAGCGAGAGAGCACGCGACGCCAAGACGGCCGGCGCGACTCTTGCTGAGGCTGGCAAGATCAACGAGAGTCTCATGTATCTGGGACAGTGTCTGCAGATGCAGAGCGATGTTGGCAGCTCGACCAAGGTAGGGAGGGATAACGCCGCAATCACTTCGCTTTGGTGCCATCGCCGTCACGCAGCTAACACATGCTACAGCCCAATATGGTGCCATTCCGCCAGTGTAAACTCACCGAGCTTCTCTTCTCCAACTCCTTCCCATCCGCGTCCATGCAGTCGTCGCATTTCGGCCAGTCTGTTCGGCGGAACCCTCAGAAAGCCGTCATGATCGTCACCGCCGACCCGCACGGCGATTTCAACGCCACGTCGCAGATTTTGCGCTACAGCGCCCTTGCTCGCGAAATCACTGTTCCGCGCATCCCGTCCATTACACAGACGATTCTGGGATCTGCGCCGGCCACTTCGCAGCATGGACCTCTCGGCACGTCGCCCCCTCTGTCAACCATTAGCACCGCTAGCAGCGGCTACCATGCCGGCAATCACACCGTGCAACACCACCGGCCTTTCTTCCCGCCTGGGAGCACAGCCAGCTCAGCGCCACACAACCGAACGTTCTCCCCGATCAGCAATGCGTCGTCGGAAGACCGCGTCACAATGGAGATTGCTGCTCTGGAGATTTCGCGCCTGTCGGAAGAAATCGACTACCTGCGGGCCTCGCTCGAACAGGAGTCTGAGAAGCGTCATGAGGCGGAGTCCCACCTGCTCTCCATGACCGACCGGATGCTGGAGCAAGAGCAAGAGATCCGCGAAGACTGTGCGATTGAGTTTGAGACGCGCTTGGCCGTTGAGATGGCTCGCTGGAAGGCGAGCCTCGAGGTCGAGAAGGAGCGTGGCGAAGAGCACTGGGACCGCAAGGTCGAGGTGATGGAGCGTCTCCAGAGCACAGAGACTGACGAGAATCAGGGCAGTCGTGGCCGCTGCGATCATGAAGACAAGGAGAATGTCCTGGTGGAGAACCTTGAGGAAGAGAATGAGCGCTTGCGGCGCGAAATTGCCGTCCTGAAGCGGGAACTCACGGGCCGGTCACCTGTAAAGCGCAAGCCTTTGCGCGAGCGCGACGATCTACCGACGGCTTCGCCAGGTGCCTCGACACCAGCGTCCGCCGGCCGCGCAGCCGTCGACAGGCATGCCGGTGCAGGCAGCTCTGCTGAAAAAGTGCTCGAAAAGGCCGGCGAAAGCCTCCGGCGGAAGATGGAGAGGTTGCGCATGAGCGACGATGATGCTGACACCATTATGGGTCGTCCAAGCGGGCGTCCCAGCGGGGCGTCCGTCAAGTCCACCACCAGCAGCGGCAGTCCAAAGAAAATGCGCAAGCTTTCGCCGAGAAAGTGGGATGTTGCTCTTGATGACGATGATTTGTTTTGAGCATTTTGAATGTCAGAGTGTAATTGTCATATTGAGGCTGGATTTCTTCTTTATTTTGTCTATATTTATCTAACGGATTCGTTCTGTTGTGTACGTCTGCTTTAGTTTGAGGTTTCTTGTGGATACAGATACCCAGCAATTTTTAAAAAATTTCAAGTCCGTTTTGGTCGTCCATTCTTTTATTGTGCTCTATGAATAACGGTATATAACGATCTACTTACAGTGTCTCTTTTAAAAAAAAATTTAGGGTTGTTTCCAATTTATTGTATTTTATTATGGTACTTATTTTTATAGAAAATCTCCTTGATTTTACTTCATTGCTTTTGTATGTATTTTTATTTTTTACTATTTTCACTGGCAAAGGACGCCACAAAAGATTCACACGAACCACCACGACTCTGAACTCATCGGTGAGAGAATGTCGGGTAAATTGCTTATTGGCAACTCAGCGATCAGATCATCACGGAGAGACTGATTGCATAAACTAAGATGGGTTTTAATATATGTCTAATTCAAATTACCAGGTGCCTTTTTATTCTCCGTGCTCTATGCCATGCTCTTTCATTCCGATTAGTCCGCCCATATTACCGGCAGGATGCCATGCATTGTTACCTTTGTCATGGATAGAAACGGGGAGGAGGGTAGACGAAAGCGGGTCGACATCTGCCGGTGGCCTTTTATTTTATGAAAGGAGGGGATGTGCTCTCAGTATGTGATGACAGTTTGCCTTCCTCATCCCACTACCGTCGTCATACTTCACTGCGAGCGGATCAAACAATCAGACGAAGAGGAGAGCGAGAGATAGCACTCTCAGAACTTGACAGCAAATCTTCAACATGCGCCCTTTCGTCGCCATCGCCGCCCTCATGGCCACTGCCACGGCCTCTCCGTTCCGACTGTTGTCTCTTCCACCGGTATCGACGCCTGCGTCTGCTGAGATGGCGGCCAAGGATAACGGCGCCCTTGTACACGATTTTGGCCAGAACAAGCAGCACCAAGAGAGCCAAGATCACAAAATCCACCATACGGTGAAGCTCACCCACCACCGCTTGCCCGTGCATGGCATCGAACATGACTACGGCTATCGCCTCCAGCGCAGCAACACCAGCCCGGGCAAGGCTGTCGTCTACGTGCCGGTCCGTGCAAGCCCCCAGAAGGGCACCACTACCCAAGCACCGCACGCCACGCACGACACGGTGGCCGATAAGCACAGCCTTCATTCGCGAGTCGCGGACAGTGCCGACGCCGCCGGCCTCACCGCGCCCCCTCCGTGCCAGCCCATGAGCCCGCCGCCGGACGAGACCGCCACCAAGGAACGCTTCGATAAGTTTGCCAACGCCTTCCTCGTCACCAAGAACATTACCGAGGCCTTTACCTACATTTCCGAGGGCTACATTGTGAGTTCACTTTGATTGGAGGATATGGTTTGGTGCATGCTGACCAGAGCCGATAGAACCACAATCCTGCCGCGAAGAATGGCGCCGCATCCGCATGGGGCATACTGAGCCCCATCTGGGCCTCGCAGAACATCACAGTGTTGCGGACAACATTCAAGGGCAACTATGGGTGGCTCAACTACCGCGCTGGCGGCTTCGGAGAAGTTGTCGATCGGTACCGTTGGGACGCCGGCTGCATTGTCGAACACGTAAGTGTCTCTTCTGTACTTTTAGTCTACGTGCTGCGAACCTGTGCTCTTGAATTGGATGCTAACTAATATGGCACATCTAGTGGGACCAAGGTGAAAAGTACCCTTCTAGCTAGGTAGGATACAGTGCCACAGCCTGCGCTGTTTCTGGCTTGCTTTGCCTACATGATGGAATCGTGGTTGTTTATGCATTGTTATGTATAGTTTTACTTGGTATAGCTGTACCATAAATCTATTTCGCATTATCTCCGACAGTTATGAAATCCTTCAATGTTGATAATGAAACAAAACTGTGTTTTGCCGTGACATAAAATCCAAAATCAGCTTCGAGATATAATAGAAAGCAAAGATATAGAACAGAAAATAACGATACGTAGTGATGTACCCCCCAAGAATTGTGATATCAAGATTAAAAAGAAATACAATTGGAGAAAATGTCGTGCAGTGCCTCGGCCAGTCCGTTTGACTGCTTGATTACCGGGCCAGACCAATGGTGTTGCGGCGGCCGCGCTCTTCACGCACACCATCGCGAGTGCGCGTCGAGCCCGTCAGCCGGCCCCAGTCCTCCCACTCCTTGGCGATTTCCATAAGCACACCACCCATCACAGCGGCGCTTGCCATCAGGCCGTGGCCCTCGCCCTCCAGCACACGCACCTCGCAACGGCGCATGGTCTTGCCGAGCCAGCGCACGTTCTCAACGGGGACACGCGTGTCGCGCGAACCGTGGTGGATAATGACGGGGCGCGTAATGTCCACGTAGCGGAAGCCGATCGTGTGGCGCCGCTCGAGACAGACAAGCAGGTCCACGGCTGGGTTGGCACCTGTCGTGGCGAGGTCCCAGATGGCGTGGGTCAGACGCGAGTCGTACGTAGCCTGCCGCTCGCGGTCAGCAATCGCATCGGCGGCAGCAGCCAACACTGCTGCCTCGCGCGCCTCGCGTGCCGACATCATCGCAGCCGCACCGGACGCGCCGGATGCCGACTTTCTGTGCACCAGACCTGCCGAGCCTGCAGCGGCGCCTGGAGAGGCGCCATGCAGCCGCAGCCGGTCCATTTCTTCGATTGAGGTGAACTCTTTTGGTGGGGACGAGCCGGACGCGTCACCCGCACCCCGCCGTGCGGCCAGTATATTCTCCTTGTTGTCAGCGGGAAGCGGGTTGTTCTTATGCGCGTCCTTTTCGCGCTCCTTGGCAAGGTTGGCGCTCGACTTGCGCTTCCGCTTCGGCGTCTTGGGGAGGCTCGAGGTGATGGAGCTGCTCGTGGCAGACATGAAGCTGGAGTTGGCCGCTTTGAGGAAGGGAGTAGGCAGGGCGCGCAAAATACGCTGAGACGTCGGGATGGCATTCGTTGGAGGCAGGGGTGTTTGTGCTGAAGAGCCGAACACGGACATTTGAGAGGGAGGAATCCACGGCGCGAGGAGGTGAATCCGACCACGGATATGCTGAGGCATCCGGAGAGCTGTCGCCAGAGCATATATGGCACCCGCCGAGTGGGCCAGAATCGAGAACTTGGTGATTTTTAGAGCCTGGCAGATGGCGTACACATCATCTGGTAGGAATCTTTGGTCAGCAAAGGCAATCAATGAGTACGTCACAAAGTAAGGAGAACAACATACCAGGCCAGCTCAATGGGGTGGCAGTGCCGTCCGCATAAGGCTCACTGTCACCAACACCTGGTCGATCTGGCGTGATGAGGCGTAGCTTGAGTGTCAAAGCAAGCTCGTCATAGAAGGCCATGATGTACCGTGTCAGGCCCATGCCGACGCAGCAGAAGACGGCGGAGCCCTCACTGTCACCAACCTCTGAGAAGGAAATGATACGGCCCGTCTGCGGGTGACGAATCTTCTGGGATAATCTTGGCGAGCAGAGATATGCCTCGACGGCATCATCAACACTGTCTGCGCTTTCTGGCCGCTCGTAGACGACGTGAGTATCCTCGGCAGACGTTCTTCCACTCCGGCTACCCTCGATCACAGAGAGCATTGACTTGTCATCTCTACCGAGCGGGCCAGACAGTCTCTTCAGCTTCGAACCAGTCCGCTTCAGATCGGTCTGGTCAGTGCTATTCCGACCGGAGCGGCGGCGGCCATCCAGGCTGCGATCGCGCCGCCTGCCCTGGGCCACCGCCGGGAAGGGCGCGCCATCCTCCATGTCTTCGTCAGGAGAGGCCGTTTCGGAGCCGAGATTATTAGAGGCGAAAGGAAACGAACTGGACTCGCCCGGCCGTTGGCTACCGCTCGGCTGCTTCGCCAGAGCTGTGTCCTCGCCACTCTCGCCTCTTCCCCGCGTTGGCTCTTTTGCGTAATGTGACGATGCGCCCTTTGAATCAGATTGCGAGGAGTAGTAGGGGTACTGCGTCTGAGACTGAGACGGTTGCTGCTGCTGCTGTTGCCTTTGCTGCTCTTGTGTTTTTCTCCTCACGAGCTCAGGGCGTTGTCCAACATCCGAAAATTTGCTAAAGTGGTGCTCATCAAGTTCGTGAATGGTGCTGTTCGCTGATGGGTCCTGCTTTTGCTTGGAGGAACGCCGCGATGACCGCTTGCTGGCATTGGGTCCGGTTTTGTGTAGACTGGAATCGCGAGCCGGGATGGGCCGTGGGCTTGGTGCGCCATTGTCGAGGGACGGGCGGGAAGCATCTCTGTTGTTAGGCGAGTCGGGGTGTGTTTCTTCGCTGATCGGGGTTTCGGCCAAAAATGGATCAGCCCGCGACGCGGCGCCGCTGTTGATGCTCATCCGATCACTGGCACCGCCAATGCTGGTGCGCTTCTTCTCAGCCTCCTTTTCGCGGAGGCGCTCTTTACTGCTCATATACATGAGGCCTTTTTGGGCGCGCCCCGACTTCTTGCCCCAGCTATCGTGTGACGACCGGCGCCGTAGCTCAGGAACGGGCGACACGGCACCGCGCTCAATGGAGACGTTGCCTATGCTCTGGGCATCCGCATCCCGTGACGCCAAGGAGCCCTTGGACGATGGGCGGGAGCTGCTACGGCCAGACAGCAGCGACTTCAGGCCGCCCGCGTTTGACGGGTCCTTGGCAGGAGATTTAGGCGCGGTAAGTGGCGAGAACCCGCTCGGGGGCTTGGAGGTTCGAATGACAGGAGGACTTGCGGCAAGCTCGTCTAAGGGTGTGCTTTCGTCGACAGCGTCAGCTTCGGCGGCGTTGACAAAAGCACCGTAGTCGACGCCAAACGAGCCGCCGGTTGGTGATTGAGGGACGGAGCCGAGATTGTCGGGTGACGTGCCAAAGGGGCTGTCGAAGTGGGAGTTGGCTGGTTTCGAGATAATGGACAGGCTCGTAATGAGGGACGAGATGACTTCGGGAGAGGCGGGCGAGATGGCTGCGCCGTGGGAGGAGGGAAGGCTTCGTGATAGGGACGGCGTGGAGGTAGACGAGGCAATGTTCTTTCGGCGAGCTTGCTGGTGTGTCTGTCGCGGAATTGGAGGTGTGGAGGGAACGGGAGGAATTGCTGGAGCAGCAGAAGTGCTCGTAGAGGTCTCCATGTTGGGCTGTCTCTTGACTGCTTGGCTTCGTGTTTTAGAGTACCTTTCCTAGCTTTCCGTCTGATGACCCCAGATGACCAAAATAGAGCAGGTTAGAGCGTCCAATTCAAGCGCAGTCAACAAAGAGCGTGCTTTGAGTTGGGGCCGATGCGCCAGCAGAAAGTGATATTGGGGCAATTTGCACCTGCATCGGTGTCCACTAAATCTAGTGGCCGAAGTGTTTTGGCGCAGGCACGGGCATCCAATGTAAAACAAATGGGGAGGAAAAAGGAATGTAAGAAGGCCGGGAAGAGGAAGAACCCGAATGTGGCAAGGAACGTGCAGGACGACAGGTACAAAAGTTTGGACTATCGCTGTTGCACTGGACGTATGTCGCTGGTATCGTTTTGTTGTACTTCGGTGAGAAACGCGCGCTTTGCCCTCGTGCAGTATTTTGTGTTGAGAAAGGGGCGGACTGATTTCCTAAACCTGCCAACCAACGATGACAGGCAGACAATACCGGCGGTAGGTACAGGGTGAAATAAGGGACTGTGTTGACCAGCTTTTTTCTTTTTGCGCAGGCTTTCCGAGCTCTGAGCAGCGGAGTGCGAGGTAAGACGAGGAAAAAGAAAGAAAAGAAGCAAGGCGACCTCGGTTTGCCTGTCGACGAGACAGGTTTTTCGACGCGAGGGAGGAAACTGGCTGGAACCGGCACGACCGAGACAGGCAAGAGGCGCTGCTGCGTGAGAAAAAAGCAATTGTCGAAGTCGTACTTCTGCGATTGGGGGTGTGTGGTGTCGCAGGTGGAATGGTAAGACAGTGCGTTGCAGCGGGAACCGCTAGCCCAGGTGAGGAGCTTTGACGCCCGTTCTAAAACTCGGCATGTAGCTTTGCTGTTAGTCTTGCTGGTCAAAGCGACTGCTGGAAAGGACGCGTCGGAAAGAGGGACAAAAAAAAAAGGCGACAGATATGAAGCAGACGAGATCGCAAAAGGTTGCCAAAGAAGGGAAACGAACAAGAATCGAAGCCGGTGGAAGGCCCGCTTTCGCCTACACTTCCATTGTTGACCAAGGACGAGAGAGATACAGTAGAGTATTTTACCGGGACTCCAAAGACGTTCCACCAGGGTCTGACAGGGCAAGTGAAAAGGGAAATTAAACACAGCAACGGGGCAGCAGCAAGAAAGGAGTAAATCGCAGGCAGAAGAGGTCAACAAGGACGTGGGCAAGCAGCTAAAATTGTGATGGGGCAAGCTCTGCGCGATGGGCAAAATCAAGTGGACACTACCTACCTTTGTCGTCTTTGGTTTTGATCCTTGCAATAGAACAGCGATGTAATCCGAACTCCGTAATACGCCGTACGGGCAAGTTGTCCAAAGACTGTGTTATGCAATGTGGACGAGGAGATGCAACAGGTGTGTCGCTTCCTTAGGAGGAGCGTCGTAGTTTTTCAGTTTGCTTCTGCGGATGCATTCCATGGAGAAGACGTGATTCTGGTGGAAGGTAAAATTGGGGTTCTGTCCGGGGGCTTATCAGTTTTGTTGATTTGCTTCTCCCTGCAACTACTTGTCATGGCAGCTGTCTTGTCCGCTGGAAATTTTCATTGGACTGGGACGTTGTGTCACGAAGTATTACTCGAGCAACGATCCTTGTTGCGCCAGAGTGATGCAGGTGAAAGATGCAGCTGCACGAAATGTGTTTTGCTCATGCTCACTTTTTTGGGCAGTGTGCTCAACGGTGATTTGCGAATGGGGATACCCCTGATGCCCTTTTCCTTCCATCCCACATCCCCCTTTGCTTTCGTTCCCCCCTCCGCGCTGCGAACACGGTTGGGAGACCGCGGTAGACTGGACCCATGACGAATTGGGTTTAGCAAGGTTGCTTTTGGTGCTATTGTTCCATGCACGGGCCAACCCAAACCATGCTGAGATTTGCGGCTTGCCCCTGAGTCGAGCAGCAACCAGCGCTGAACAGGTGGTGTGAGGTGGTGCATAAAATGATGTGGTGCATGTGCCATTTGCAAGGCACGCACAATCAAGTTTAAATCTAAAAACTCGAGAAGAAAATAAATATGTTTTGTCGCATCGTTGGATTGATGGTCGCCAGTGTTGATTCTTGATGCCGGCGCGAAAATTGCTTTCTGCATTCAAGGCCACGGAACTTTGAGAGGGCACCCGGAAACTTAACTGTCTTCCTTGGCGCCTTGTGTCTCCCCCCTGTGGGGATTCCCGGTTTGGTACGGCTGTTCTGGGAGGATCATGACGGTGCCGAACAACCCCTGTTGGCTGTCTGAACCCGTTTCTGGAAATGCTATTCTTGTTCCTGGTATTCGCAGATGTGCGGAGAACTTGAGGTCGACGAGGTCGATGATATCCTCGAGGGCAGGCAGATACCGAGACTGTTCACCATTTCAGGTGCGGCTGAATAGGGCTCGAACAGGCTTTCCAGGGAGCGATCAAGACGATGCAATGGTGATCAAGCCACAGGCCCGTCAGATGCAAAACGATTCCGGTAACATTGCTAACGTGTGCTTCGACGACGAAGATCAAAGATTGCGACCTCGAGCAGATTCCCGAGTGCCTGGAGTCGATATCGAGTCTTTTCTTCCGATTCTCTTGTAGTACATCGAGTTGTGGGATACTCGGTGACTGTTTGTCGAGGACGGTGAGTGTGAGACATTGGCTGGGCACTGCATGCATGCAGACATGCATGCACGGGCACAAGCCTTTTCCTCTTGTTCCTTCCATCCACCCCTCTCGCTTCCGGCTTGTTCGCCCAAGTGATCAAACATATATCGTAACCGAAAGAGCTGAATGATGTTCTAGTGTTCTGTTCAGCCAGTTTTATTGTGTCCGCGAATCAAGGTTGGTGAGGCAGCACCGTCACTGGCTGCGAAGGGCGCACGGGGACCCACACAAGTGCATGCGTCGATGCAACTGGACGAAGTGAACTCCAGAATTGCAGTTCCATGTTGCACATGTGGGAGTAGGAATTGTTGTGACCCGGTAAATGATGCGCAAAGGAGAGAGAGATAGAGAAGAAAGAAAATATGACCAAATCGGAGGAATCGAGACATGTGGGTAGAAAACATGGGAAAATGAGAAAATTTAGGAAGGAGCATATGTGTACGGAGTAGGATAGTAAGGAAGGAGCACCCGCAAGATCGAGACATGTGGGTAGAAAACATGGGAAAATGAGAAAATTTAGGAAGGAGCATATGTGTACGGAGTAGGATAGTAAGGAAGGAGCACCCGCAAGAACCTAACGGCAACATTAACACATCCCAACTTGATAATAGGTGACATCTATCACTAAATGCCATATCGTCTGTCGCTGGACTTGTGGCCATCTCGATATGTCCGTGTTGCTTTTCGACACAAAAAACGTGCGTTATGCAAGATCCCTCCTTCCTGAGAGGGTCTTATGCATGATGACAACAGGGGGCAACAGCGGGTAGATAGCTCTTACCGCGAGACGACGTTCTGGAAGCAAAGAGATAGTCAGGGAAGGAGCGCTTGCAACTCCTGTTGAAAACACAATATGTCCGATTGCTGCGTAGCGGCCTACGAGTTCAGTCATGATACTGGCATATGTTGTACATCTCAAAAAAAATGGTACAGTGAGGTCGTGAAGAGAAACTCCCGGGACCCGACGTGCTATCGCGCCAGCGACGCCCCCCCTGTGCATGCGAAGACTACGAGGCGGCTCCTGTCATCTTGGTCTTTTTTGGTTTGTCCTTTGCTTTTTCGTCTGGTCTCCAAAACCATTTCTTAGTATTGCCCCATGTCCACGCGTTGTACGTACTGACGACAAGGGTACAATTTACCTTCTCTCCATCATCTCTGTTCGAGAAATATCCCAGGACCTCCACCTCGTGGTCCATGCTCTGCTTACATAGACTGGATATGACACGGGCGTATTCAACTTCTTCGATGTTTTCGTGTTCAGAGCATTGCCCGGTGTGCGATGTCGCACATGCCGCGTGGCATTTGCTTGATGGTTAATGATAAAATTGTAAATAGAATTAAATTGGTTGTGCGAGTTGAATCGGCCGCCGCCGTAAACAAAGGAGAGGCGGTCGGTTTCTAACAAATCGGCTATGAAATAGTGTGTAATGTGTATAATTCCGACGAGGAATTAGGGTATCATAAGGAATGCATGAAGGCAACAGCTGTGTGTTGCAGTCAAATAATGCTAAAATCACAAGAAACGCCGTCGCTGTCGCCCGAGTCCCTCCTCGTTGTCGTATTGCCCGTCCTTTCGCGTCGTTGTCCGGTGCCGCTCCATCGTGCCCGTCTATTGCATAATCGCAAAGCACCAATCACTGTCGGCATAAACAGCCGTCTTGATACTGCCCAGTGTGCTCTTCAGATAGCACTGGAAATAATTCTTGCCCGAATTCTCAAAGCCAGAACTGCCGACGCCGCTGCTGGTGGTGCTGCTGTTGGCAGGGCCCCAGCCGCAGGCGGTGCATCCAGAGGTGCCGGCACAGTTGTTCATGCAGTCGTCCATGCTGGTGGTAGGTAGATGGGAGAGGTCGACGGCGGCACCCGTGCCGGAAAAGTCGATGCCGCAGAGACGCAAGAACGTCGTACCGGAACCGGGGACGTTGTAGGTGGTGCCGTTGGCGGCGGGGCAGTCAGTCAGAGAGGTGGACGTGCTCGACGGGGACGACGAAGAAGAAGTGGCGGCGGTGGGCAGCGTGGACACGATGGCGGCCGCAGTGTTCGAGAGAGTCGCCGCCGCGGCACCAACACCACTGGCGGCACTGCTACTGGCAGTGGCGGCCGGCGCGGTCGCATTCGGCCGCGCCATAAGTTCGTCGCTGCTCTTTTTGGAGAGGCCAATGCCGACACCGACGCCAACGCCGATGGCCACGGCGAGAATCAAGAAGACAATGAAGCCGGCCACGTACCAGAACTGGCGACCGCTGCGGTCGCGCTCGTAGTAGCTGTCGGATGCGTCGTCGTGGTTCTCGGACACCGGCTTGCGGCCTGGCATGCGTCCCTCACGTAGGCCGGGCGGCACATAGCGTCCGTTGACAAATTCTATCTCGGCCAGGTTCCCTTCCTCGCGATTCATGTCGTCCTCCTCGTCGGCGCCACCCCTCTGACCTGGCCGGCGACCGTTCCCACCGCCGCCACCACCGCTGCCGGCACCACTGCTGCCCCCGGTCAAGTCCCGGAAACCAGACGCAGTCGTCTTCTGATTGCTGCTGTGCTTGGGTGTCGACACGGCGAGGCCAATCTCGCGGAACTGGGAGCGGTGGGGGTTAAGCTTTTCCGTCTGAATGGCGCCGTTGTCGTCGTCATCATAATCGTCGTCGTCATCGTCGTCGTCGTCGTCACTCAAGTTGCGATGGCCTGGTGGTGGGGTTCCTTCCCGGTAGAAGGTGAAAGCGGACGGATTGGTGGCCGTGGCAAAGGTTGCTGTCTCGGCACCACCGCCGTTGCCGCTGCCGTTGTTGCCGCCACCTGTACTGTCGACTGCGCTGGCGCCGTCGTCCGACCAATAGATGGATGGCGGACCGGTTGCTGATGCGTGGATAATTCGTAGATGCGTGCTTGATGGTTGTTGTTGTTGATTTTGTTGCTGGTTTTGTTGCTGCTGCTGACGCTGCGGCTGCTGCTGCGGCAGGGGCTCTTGTTGTGGTGGCAGCTGGAACTGCGCCGCGTTAAAGACGGGCACAGGATAGTTGCGGTCTTCGGGCGGCAGCACGTCGCTCTCCGACCCGTGTGTCAGACGCGTGCCCGTATCGCTTTTGCGCTTGGGCGGCGCTGGTGACAGCGGAAAGTACATTTCCTCGCCGTCAACGCTGAACGTGGGGACGGGCGTCGGCCGCATTGCGCCGTTGCCGCGTGAGCCTCGCCCCGAGTTGCGGCCATCCTGCGATGAAGATGACGAGGCCCGTCGGTACGTCGATTGGTAGACAGCTTGTGGCACCGGGACAATGGGCAATTGTCCAAGTGGTGCCGTTGCGGTGTTGGGCGACCTCGGCTGTGGGAAGCCAGTGACATTGGTGTTGTCGTTGTTGCCGTGGCTGCTGCTGTAGTTACTCTGGCTGCTACCGTTTCGCCGTGTCCAGGCGTTCATCTCGACTGACATGCCCGAAAGGGCACTGTCCTGCGTCGCTCGCGATGCCCGCGGCTTACTGCCGTTGGCCTCGGCCTCAGAATCCGGGGTGTTGCGCCGCGATTTCATATTGTTGTGCGACGCTGGTTGGAGGCTGATTTCAGGGGTCGTGGAAAATCCGCTGCCTCCCCTACCTCTCAACAGTGTCAACTGTGCTGGCCGCACTCCCTTCCGCCGGCTGGAGTGGCACACACAGGATGTGGAGGATGTACAGGAGTCGCGACAGGCGTCGTCAAGAAAACGTGACGGTAATGCAGATGTTGTAATCAACTGTCGCTTCGGTGGGCCATCGGCCGGTAAGAAAAGGACCAAAATGAAAGTAGACCAAGGAAAATGCCAAAGTACGTCAATAAAAGATCGTGAGAATCAAGATATTGAAAAGGAACAGAAATCATAGAGGCAAAGGATAAGATCGACGTCTGACGGTCTGCCTAAAAGCCAGACATGGAAAGAAAGAATGCGGAAAAGAAGCTAGAAATTCAAGAACAGACACCAGAAAAAACTCCTCTGCTACCTTCGCTTCCTGGGTCTTCCGTCGACTGCGACTCTGCTAATCGTGCTCCGAGCCTCTAGTCCTTTAGTGCACATCTCGATGTGGCTCGTCCCTTGTCGTGTTGCGAAAATGGCAGGCAATATGAACGCACGACAACAATCCCTGCCGCTGGCCCCATCAGCTCTCCTCTTTTTATTCTTTTCCAGCTTAGCTTTCTCCCCTTTTTCTCTGCAACACCCCGGCCGAGCCACGACGTTATTACGTGCACGCTTCCCTGGCAATGGACCCCACAAGCCCAGGTTTGTTTTCCTCTCTCGGTGTCTGTCTCGCAGCCGTGCTGTCCTTGCAATTTGCGTGCTCATTTTCTCCTGCCGTGGAAGTGATTTGCTGGTCTGGAAAAGGAAAATTGGAGAACAAGGCTTCTCCCCAATAACCCTTGCGTTTTGTCGCCTCTGCTTCCACACGAACCTGTGCGTGCTCTGGTCTGGTCTTTTTAGTCTCAGCGTTCGTTCTGTTCCTAGCATTGTCCCCTCTTTCCTCCATCTCTTTTCGTCTTGCTGCAGCACTAGGCCGACCAGTCTCCTGCGACTGTTAGTTTCTGTCTCATGTCTTGCAGAGTACTCTCAAACAGCCGTTATGTTATGCCAGATGCTGTCTAGCAAGTGAGAGTCGTTTTCAAAGGCGTACTTTGATCCCTTGTAATCCGTTCATCCCAACAACACCTGGTATCCCAAATCCCAGAAACTGGGAAATCTTCCCGTTGTGGACAATGCAAATAGCGGATCTGCATCCATCCTATCAGGCATTGTCAAAACAAGAACCCCCCTGTAAAAGGTATATTGCAAGGCCGCTTTGACCCTCTCTGTTTTCTACACCCGTCAAGGTTTTGGTGCCATGCGCTGCCCAGATGCAACCCACAGGCCACTTTCCTTCGCTTTTCTCGTTCTCTCACATTTCTTCCAGTTCCTTTCCATGAACCCATAAAGTTGCCAAAGACCGTTAGAACCGCCTTCTTTCTTCTGGCGCCTCCTTAGTCTAGAGCCATTTTTGCGCACTTGACCGAGCTACCCCTATTTTCCTTTCCTTTTGCAAGAGACCAATGGGCAACACTAGCCAATCAGACAACACCGAGCACTGTCTCACCTGGTCGGTGCATCTTGTCCATACATGACTTCGTACAAACGAAGCAACGTATCACTCCGTATGTTGTATGTCGTACACAATCTATCAACTGCCGAGGCTCCCACCCAGACCAAGAGTTCAGTTCTCTCTCAAGTAAAGATGGAACCACCAGCCTATGTAAGGTGGATTCAGCCGCACCCAAACACTTTCCTTTCAGCTCTGTCAAGAGTGTGGACGAGGCTATTCTTGGAATGTCCGACGTATTGGATTTGCAGGGATAATAGTAAACAACCGGGGGTTCCGTTCTGAGAATGCTGGGTCACAAACTGACAACGGCGCTACAACACGTTGGTGCACACTTGGTTGCGGGTGCGGGCCGCAGATGCACGTTGGTTGATGCTGCTGTGACAAGGTTATCCCGAGTTGCGTGAAGCGTCGTACTTTTGTTAGTGCTTGACGTTTCACAGAACGACAGGATGACGTGAAATAACATGCGAAGAAGCTTTTAATAATAACTCAAAATCTAACCTCACCACAAAATCTGCATTCGTTCCTTGTTCATCGCGGATTTGACGAGAAGCGTGGTGCCAGGACCTTCTCCTACCAGAACGAGAACCGGCCAAGAGCGGACTGATTACCGGCAAGGCTGGTTATGAAAATCCTTCTCGATGGCATACCAAGGCTGTGTCACGCTCCCGTGAAAAGGGGTGCAGCCGATGGCGTGAAACATCATTCTCAACCGGTAACTTGAGCAGGAACATCTAGCCCTCCTAGACGACTCGCAACATGGCACTCTAGCTGCGGTAGGTCTTCTTGATGCCACCGCCTTTTCGAGCAGAGACTCTAGGGTTGGGGCGCCGCCGTCCTCGTAGATGGGGCCACGTCACAGGACCTTGACAAGCCGCAGGTGGTGGCTGGTGTGACTGGTGAATGTGAGAATCGTCCTTCGAAGTCCACCACGACACTGCGATGCAATTGACGACAGACTGGACGGTTATACTTGAGCATAAACGTTTTGGACGCGAGTGTAGGGGCTAGCAAGATCGCTTGTTAGGACAAATGCAAACGGACTCGATACGAGAAGACAACACATACCCGTGCTGTGCGGCCGCTCAGAGGAGGAAAAAAAACACATTGCAGGCATGCGGGAACCATGAAATGGATCTGGATCGATATATCGTGAACCATGGTTCGTGCCTGAGACAAAGTGGTACAGAGCGTGATGGCTGATCCGCTCGCCGAGCTGCTGGTATCAAATATCGAGCCTGCTGCAAGGCCTGTTGCCCCACTGGGAAATCGAGTGAGGTGGTACGAAATAAAACCTATTGTGCGGGATAAGATAGTAATGTGAATGATCCACAGGGTCGGTTGCAAACACATGAGAAAGAAAGCGAAACATCATCGAGTAGGCACAGATGTTCATGTACCAGTGGTGCACTAAAAGAATGCGCCCGTATATTAATACCAGTGAACGAAGAGGGCCGAGGAGTCACAAAACCAGCGAGGGGCATGCCAGACGGCTGTCTTCTATCCGAACCCGTGAGTGACGTCGAAGAGGTCGTTTATAGTTGGCAAAAGAGGGATCGAACTGGGAATAGAGTTTAGGTTTCTGTCACTAGATCGTAAGCCGGCAATGAAACTTGCTCTTGACTGGCAACATCGTGATGTGCGATGAGCCAGTTTTCTCGGTCGAGAACTATCACATAACACAAGTTTGGATGCACAACACGCGCAGTAACCCAGACTCGTAGAGCAGTGAATGACGAAAGAAGGTAGTACCAATGCATATTGTTGAAGTGTGGTCGAAGTTGCAATATTGAAGGCACCTGCATATTAGGATGACGTAAAACGTACATACTCAATAGTGTAGGCGCGTAGAAAGGGCGCTGGAAACGAAATATATACCGGGCATAGACAGCAGGTAACACAAGATCTGGTTCTAAATCCGTTTCACAGAAGAAGCCCCCGATATCTTGTACTGTGTACAGAGTACCGTATATTGCATTTGTCACATCTCTCACTCGTAGATCATGAGACCCGGTCGTGACCTGTGGGAGGAATCCAAGGAACCTTTTAATACATCGATTCGGATTGCAAGAAGTCTGTATTGTCGTATGTAGCAGACGGTCTCTGAGGCCACTGCTAGAGGCATAAATGGCTGCCGTGGCTGGCTCGATTGGTTAGGCGTGCTCGACTGGTTAGGCGAGCTCGACATAAAATGGAATATATATGATGGGGAAACTAGAGAGAAAAGGACAAAACACAACTAATGGCGGAGCTTTTCGTGTCGCGTCACACAGTGATGTAGCCTTTGTTATCAGAATTTGAAAAGGGCGGCGAATAGGAAGAGAGGGAACAAAACAAAGAGTTGGATAGGGCAGGAGGACGGTACAGAGCCCTGAAAGAGTCCATATTCGATCCTGGCATGAAGGTCTCCGGGACGTCGGGGCCATGGTCCAAGAACACAGGCTCGAGAAGCCCGGGGTGGAATGCTGAAAGTTGAATCTGTGCAATGGAAATACTGAGGTCTCAGCGAGGAGAGGCGGGCGATGTCACGCGATAGTGATGCAAGATATTCCTCGCATCTGAAGAGTCCAAATAAAAGGAACCGCGCGTGGGGTCAGATGAGGGTGATGATGGCCATGGGGCCAAGGCCATGACGAGGTCGGTGTGCAGGTCGAGGAAGGCACGTCGTTGATCGGAAGGTCCGTACGGGGATGTAAGACGAAAAAGGAAGCAACGATGAAGCGCGACGAGGCAAACTCAATACGTGTGCAGCTGCCCGTTTGTGGATCCCCGCCACGTCTTAGGAAAGTAAGAGGGAAGGAGCCACCGGTGGGATATGAGGTATTAAAGGAAAGTGCGAGAGGTAGTAAAAACAACGTTGCCATGTTATTGTGGCAAGCGCGACTGCTGTCGGTGCAGACAGTTTCTTGACGAGAATATAAGGAAGAAGATAGAGAGCAAAGCAGAGGAAGCAACAAGCCGTGTCACACAGAGGCCTTGCTACAATCTTGACCAGCACATATCGAGGACAGACGCTTTCATTCTTATTTCTTACTGCTACTTTTCAAGTCCTTATCACCGGCTGCTTACGATACTTTGCCTGAGCATCTACTCGTTTTCTTCTACATCCTCTCAATCTATTTTGCATCATCGATCTCTTTACCGCTCTATATTTTCGTATCATCTCGGATCTTCATGGATCAATTCAACCTTTTATCAATCCAAGCCGTTGCCACCTGCAAGATGCCTCACCTGCAGATGGTTTGCCGCGAGTGGGCTGTCGTCCGTGCTGCATCGAAGAAGGATGGACAAGTTGTATCGGTAACCGGTGGAGATTTGACGATTGCCGATGTCGTGGCTGTCGCCCTGTGTGTTTTAGCCCGACCTCCTTTCCCTTGCCAGGTTTGTTGACAAGATAGCGTGCTGACATGCCGTTGTTGTCTTCTAGGTACGGAAGTCCCGCCCAATTAACCACCAACGAGGTCGTCCGCGACCGCATGACTGGCAGTGTTGACTTCTTGGCGTCCAAGCTCAACGCCGGTGGGGTAATCTACGGTGTCAATACGGGATTTGGTGGCAGTGCCGACACGCGGACCCAGGACTTTCACCGGCTGCAGTCAGCCCTCGTTCAACTTCTGAATGTTGGTATTCTCCTGCCCTCGGACAAGGGACAGGTGACGTCCTCGACTTGCAGTGGCGTAGCCGCCAACGTGGACATGCTCGTTCGCAGCCATGCCCTGCCGCCTGCTATTGTGCGTGCAATGATGCTCGTCAGAGGCAACTCTCTGGCCCGTGGCCATTCGGCCGTGCGTGTCGAGGTCGTCGAGTCGTTGCTGCACCTGCTGGCGGCCAATATGACGCCTGTTGTACCTCTCCGAGGCAGCATCTCAGCTTCGGGTGACTTGGCACCTCTTTCATACGTTGCTGGTACCCTCGAGGGCAACCCGGGAGTGTATGTGCGGTGCCAAGAAAGTGTCGTTCAAGAGAGCCTCGGCGGCGAGATCGGGCCACCTCTTGGGAGCTCAACTCGTTACCTTCCCTCGGATCAGGCCCTCAAAGCCGCCGGCCTTCTGCCTGTGCGGCTGCAGGCCAAAGAAGGTCTAGGCATCACCAACGGCACGGCTCCCAGTGCTGCGGCCGCATCGCTGGCAGTGTACATGGCCAACCAGATGGCCGTCTGGACGCAGCTTCTGACGGCCATGAGCACCGAGGCTTTGTCTGGTTCCATCAACAATTACGATCCATTCATCTCCAGCGTGCGACCCCACTGTGGACAGATTGAGGCGGCAGCTACCATTCAAAGCTTCCTGCAGGGCTCGGTGCTCTCCTCTGGAGAAAGGGAGCCGGCACGCGCTGGCCTGGCCCAAGACCGCTACGCCCTCCGCACATCGCCGCAGTGGATTGGTCCTCAACTCGAAGACCTCGAGCTTGCCACACTTCAAGTTGCTACCGAGCTCAACGCCACCACGGACAACCCGCTCATCGACGTCCAGTCGGAGGACCAGACAGCTGGTGGTATAATTCACCACGGCGGCAATTTCCAGGCAATGGCTGTCACGTCAGCCATGGAGAAGACGCTGACTGCTTTGCAGAATCTGGGCCGCCTGCTGTATGCTCAAAGTGCGGAGCTCGTCGACAATTCCCGCAACCGCGGACTTCCGCCCAACCTGAGCCCTGATAATCCCAGCACATCATTCCTTTGCAAAGGCTTTGACATCAACATGGCAGCCTACCAGGCTGAGCTGGCGTACCTCGCACGGCCGATCAGTAGCCACGTTCAGGTTGCCGAGATGGCCAACCAATCGGTCAACTCCATGGCGCTGGTGGCTGCTCGCTATGCGCTCGAGGCAGGCGAGGTGGTCGGTCTCATGGTGGCCACCTATGTCTACGTGCTGTGCCAGGCACTGGACCTGCGGTGCATGCAGCGCGAGTTCCGGGCGGCCGTCATTGAGAGTCTGTCGAAGATCATCAAGGATATGTTCGTGTCTTCGCAGGACAAGTCCATGCTTGGGTCCACTCTCACCGACGATATTTTGTCGCAGCTGCTCAATCGCTGGGACGAGCTGTCGCACCTGGACCTCCAAGCCCGTGGAGAGGCGGCCGCACGCGACATCTCTGGTACTCTTCTTTCTCGAATGGTCCAGTTGACTCTCGTGCTCCCCAGTGGCATGACAATCTTCGCGTTCCAGGAACTGGTCACCATGTGTTTAGTGAACGCTTATACCAAGATCCGGGAACAGTTTTTTGCCAAGCCAGCACCCGCTAGTGATTACCTCAGCGCAGCGTCGCGTGTCGTCTACGAGTTCGTGAGACTGGAGCTCAACATCCCTTTCAACCGCGGTATCGATGACCACCCGACCCTGGTGGCTGAGAAGCAAGCTGCGGCCCGTGGCAGTACAGATGGCCTCGCAAACGGCATTAAGACTGATGTCCAAAGCGCGGACAGAACGCGCATCCTCGGCACGATGGCGAGCGAGATCTACACGGCTGTCCGCGATGGCCGTTTGTTCGACCGCGTGGTCGCCTTCTGCGAGGAGACCAAGCCGTGGGCCGACACGAAATGATTTTCCAGGGTGAAAATGGGCAGGCACAGACCACCCTTACAAGTTATTCACCTTATTTCTTTGCTTTAATATCTCCCATTTAATGTCGTTCGTGTTGTTGTTGCAGTGCTTTAATCTGGTGGTCAAAGGAGGTGTTCTACTTTCGCTTCCAATCTCTGACGATGATCTCTAGTCGGCTACGACGCATCTCTATTAACAAAAAAAAAGGCATGGACGTGATAAGAGGAAAGGGTAAAGGCCAAAAGGCCGGTGTGTAATTACACATAGCAACTTGTTAGTTTAAATGGGAATTATAATTTTTAAACAGCTAGTTCATACATCAAACAAAAACAAAAGGTCAGTATAGGGTATAAGAAAGGATAGCCATCCAACGCCGTTCCTAGACATCGACACGAAGATCATGGCCCTGTGTGCGTTCCCTGAAAGTACAAGTCCATAATCCAACCCTTCCACCCCCTCCCCGCCGCACGAAACCCCAAACACACTTCCTTCCACTTAAATAGAGGTGTCGAATTGATTTCCACGGCAGCTCAATGAGCAATCTCATCTTCGACATGACTTGAAAGAGAGTGAACGCTCACCACTCACTTCTTACCATGCCACGGAAGGACGGTAGCCAACGTGGCTCGCTGGGACGCTGGGATGTCGTGCTTGTCTGGTTGCAGCCACTGTCTTTGGCTTTTGGCCCGGAACTTGGTCTTCATCTCCTCCATCAGCTGCCGATATTCCAGCAGGCCCTTCTCCATACGGCGCTTCCAAGTTTCGCCGAGCCGCAGACGATGGCAATGCCTCGCAGAAGCAATTCACACTTGACATAATCTTCCAGAGGAAAGCCGGTGCGGTCTTGCTGGCGAACAAGTTGTTCAAAATGACAGAAGAAGTCCAAGGACGAGTTGTATTGGGCCGGCTTCATGAGGACGAGCCTGCGGGTCAGACGCATGGCCTCGCCGACAGCCTCGGGCCGCTGGGGGTAGTATTTTCGAAGGTTCCGGAATTCGCTGGTGATCGACATCTTGACCATCGCCGGTAAGTCTGGCGGTGTTATCGTCTGACGGCGGTCAGTTCGTTGCGGGTTGTCTGTGGCAGTGGCAGCAGTCAAACGTGTCTGTTGTGCTGCCGGTCTCGGCGGGGGAAGCGCGGGAATCTTGAACATGGTGGCTGTTTGAATAACATATTGCTGCATACGGTGTTTGGTAAAGTTACAAGAAAGGCAAAGGGCAATAAGGTGTGGAGGGAAATGCTGAATTTAATAGTCGGCGTTGCAAACGAGTCTCGTCGAAAATGTGAACCTAGCTGTCGGCTGTTGCTGATTATGACACTCTTTTTTTAGCCCCTTCAAAGGAGTGCAAAACGTTGATGCAAGATAGTTCAAACAGTGCTTGAAGAAGTACTCGACAAATACAACATCCAACAGCACGCTAAGAAGAGATTTGCTTACACGCACCTGTTATGTCACGGCAAACGACATAAGCCAACTAGATATTATTTGATATCAGTGATGTGGGTGAAGAGGTCAAAGAAGAGTGAATGACAATACCTGGATGCGGCCCATAATTTGACCAGATTGTGCGAAATCTCCAGAAAATAAATCTCGATGCAAAGCAAGAGGACGGCGACGAATATGGTAACATGCGATGCAGCAAGGCGACCGGTATCTATGCCATCCTGAACCATACCCGTATGTTCAATATTTTAGTACCGAGCCGTTGCAATTACTCACTATACGCCAGGAAGAACAAGTAAAAATATAAATATTAAAACTAAAGAAAACAAATAGAGATGGTATGTTATCAAATGCATATTGTATCTACACATATACTCTAAGGAACATTAGCAACAACGTGCCTGGCATCCATCAAGAACAGTACGACGATTCATTGAATGTGGATAGTATCCCGGTCGAAATAGAGAAGCGTTAATGATTATTTACTTTGTTACGTTGCTGCAACTCGATTCAACTAGTCGTGTTTGACCTGTCATGTACTCACGTCAGATGACTAAGTGAGGCACGTGATGTGAACTTTGTTGGGAATACAAACACAGACTAAGTCGTATGGCCGCCTGTATTGTACGCTGGCAATCCCTTTCGGCGGGTGACCTCATTGGTTTGTGGCGGAAGGGAGGCCGACAAAAGCGACGAAGCTGGGCGGCGGGGTGGCGTCAGCGTGGGGCCTGGCCAGGCCTCTAGCCTGATGGCCCGGCTGCTGGAGCCTTTGAGGGCTGGATTGGGGCTATTGGGCTCTCGCCAGCTGTCCGACCGACCCCCGCGTCACTTTGCGAGAGAGGGGAAGGTGCGGTGGTCAACGGCGTTTGCCTGGCGTGGCCAGCTCTTTCCCATTCCTGCGTTTTCCCATTGTCCCTCATTTTGCCTTTGCTGCGTTTAACACGGCAACTCTCCTTTCTTTTTACTTTCTTCCAACGTTGTATCTATTTCTATCTCAAATTTCCTTATGTCACCTCACATCCATCGACTTTGCCCTGCTTCCCCACTTCTATATGAACTCGCGGCTTGTGTCTCGTCCCACCCAAACGGCTTGACGGACAGGCAAGGACCCTTTCTCACTTCGAAGCTCGAACTGCCAAAGACGAGACAAGGGGGAAACAAACGATACACACGACACAGCATACCCTCAGCACTCGCCGCACCAACACCAAGCACCATTGCCCATCATGACGTTGTCGTTCCGCGGCGTGGCCGTCCTCAAGTTCGTCGGGACGGTGTCGCTTGGCCTCTTGACGGTAAGATAGCATCTCCGACAGCTGGCGCACGTCATCGTCACTTCCGTCATGCACGGCCACTGTCGGCGTCAGCATCATTGTCGTTGTTATCGTGACTAATTGGCTGTGTCCCTAGGGCCTCTCCTACACCCTCTCCACCGTTACTGTCCCTACCCTCCTCACCCTGCCCTCGGCTCGCACGGCCTCCAATGCCTTCCGCAGCCTGAAGGACGCCGCCTCCGTCCAGATTCGCACGCTCTCGACCGTCGCTAGCTCTGCTTTCCTGGTCGCGTTCTTCACGTCGCCCCGCGCCGTCCGCCACCCGTACCTCCTGTACACGGCGCTGCTTGTCATCGGCGGCCGCTTCGCCGCCTCGGACGCTCTAGCGCCGTACCTGTTCTCGTCCTCCTCGTCGTCGTCTTCCGGGAACCCGACGACAGATCCGTTTGCGCCGTCGTCGCCCCTCGGCAAGGACCTGCGGCGCAGCGGCTCGGCCTTGTCCACCTCGGCATCTCACATGGAGGCCAGCTACGAGGTGTTGGGCTCGGCGACTGCCGGCTCTGTGTCGGGTGGCTCGGTGTCAGACGCGCACAGCGACGGCAGCGCCGGTGATGACGCTGACACGTCCGCAGCCGGTGCCAACGGAGGCAACGGCTCTGCGGGGGTCAACGGTGAAGAGGTGCGCGCGGCTGTCGAGACGTTCCTGAAGCGGCAGATTGTGCGCACGGTGGCAAGCGGCCTCGCATTTGGCATGGCCATTGTCGGCCTTTGGGGTGACGGCCTCCGCCGCGTGCCGGTCTGGAACGAGACGATCATTGTTGCGTAAAGAGTGTTTTCACAATGCACATCACCGGAGTTGCATTTGCCTTTGTTTCTGTTTGTTTTATTCTCTCTCCATCAATGAATTTGTGTGAAACTATCTGGGTTCGAAAAGTACCCGTATTTGTATTGTCATTTGCCGCTGAACCTGTCTCCCATCTCCCTATTTATGTATGGTTTTATGTTTGATATCTTATCTCCAATTTATTTTCAGGCGTTGAATCCGGGGTTCATCCATACAAAACAATTACAAGCACGCTTGATACGTAATGAGTGCTACTGGTGAATGTCTGAGCTTGGCCTCGACATCTCATACGTAATATATATGCTTGGTTGGTATATTCAAAAGTACAGGTTTGTGCAACGAAAGAATGCCTTTCGCTCTCCTATCGTTATGTATTATCTTTCCCACTTGCCCCGCCCTCCCATAACCGCCATGGATCTCAGTCCAACGGTAGCCGCCACAGGCCATCGCCTAGGTAGTGAGCATCCTCCACCACGGGGCCCTTGCCCTTGTCCTTGACCTCCTTCGTGTCCGCCACCAACAGGCCCACAGCACACGCCTCCTCCTTGCCCTCGGCCGTAATAACCACCGGCTCGCCCTTCTTGAGCTCCCGGCTCCAGTGGCCGTCCGCGCTGACCTGCTCCGGCTCAATGTCGTGCGGCTGTGGCAGCCGGCCGCCGGGGCTCGTCAGCCCAGGGGCCATCAGCGTGGCGCCGCCAAGGACATAGCGGATAGCACCGCGGTCGATGCGGATGCTGGGGAAGGCATGAGGAAACCGGTGGACGAGACGCAGATGGGGCAGCAGGGGGATGTCGCTGCCTGGCTTGCCTGACTCGAAGAAGAGGGGTTCGGAGTCGAGGACGTAAAGGACGGCACGATCGGGCAGCTTTATGGACTGCAGGGACGCCTTCTTAGGGAGGATCTCGTCCGCATAAGGTGTGAGGAGCGGGTAGCTGGACAGCAGCGACTGACGGAGCGACCGTTGAACGGACGACTTGAGTTTTTGCCGCGGCGCGGGCGGAAGACTGGTTGGATTAGCAAGGACGCGACGTGCAGAAAAAGGGCAGTCAGCCGACAAAGTCACGCAAAATGGACACCTACTCCTTTTTGAACATTGTGGGAGCTTTGGGGTGGGCGATAGGACGTGACGAGCAGAGAAGAGACGAGAGAAACGATATCTGTAGACGTGCCCCGCTACTGAAATTTTGAGGGCACGAGGCACGCGTCGAGTTGCGGGCGCTGCACCAACCAGCCTTTATCGACGGCTGCGGGGTAGTTATTCAGTGGAAAGTGCGCTGGGCTGCTTCTGGAACGAACCTGTCTCCGCACGCTCGATTGCCCCATTAATTCTGAGTGGACTGCCGCCTGCAACTGGCGCTAAAAAGTGTAATGATGTGCATAGCCTACGAAGATTGAGTACATGGCCTGAGAGCCTCGAACATAGACATGGGTTGGCAACTACGAAGCGAGAGGCAGGAATAGATTATGATCGTAAATGAATTGTCTGTTTGCTACGTATACACTGGTATGGCTGTGCCATGTACCTCGCAGCCATTCCAGCAATTGCTCGCTACAGTTGCTGAATGCTCGCAAACGAAGACGTGTCCGCTCTTGCAAAGCCTGTTCTAGCCATCCTGTCTTTCATCGCGTCGTCCTTGCTTAACCGTGGTGCACCTTGGCCACCGTGCCATCCTCGTTGAGTGAGATGTTGAGACGGTCAGGCGAGACATCGTTGGTCGCCGTCGCGCCGTAGGGAATCACACGCGCGTTCTTCGGGAGGTCCTTCTTGGAGAATGCCTGCCATTTATTGGTTAGCAGCCATTGATGTGCTCATGCCAATCGTTCCTACCATCGACTTACCGTCTCGTTCGAATCACCATCCGTCAGCGTTTTGCCCAAGAGCTTGGACATCCACTCCTGCGTCTTGTTGTCGCCGAGGTTGTTGGCGGTCACGCCGGGCACGACGAGAGGCATGGTGGGTATTTGTTGTTGACAGGGCGTATAATAATAATAAGGAGATTGAGTTGCGTCTGCAAATACAGGTGTTTCTGTGATGTGGATTGAATTGTGTGCTGAGGTTAACAAGTGGATGTGAAAGAGGGAAGTCAAAGCTTTCGAAGCGTAAATACAAAAAGTCGGCAAGTGGTTTTATGTCTGGGATTGGCACCTGCCTGGACAGGTGCATCGGAATGATGACGTCGCTACGTGCCAGGGCAGGAGCCACCACCTAGACACGCACACTTTATCTAGATGACTAAGCTCCACCAAACTGGAACAAGAAGCAAGAAAAAATTGTGTGTCAATATTTGACTCTCTCGTTTCTATTGACAATATACAGAAGCAAATAAAATGACAGAAAGACGTTCGTACAACTAGAAAGAATAGGAGTCGGGTCACAGTAGGCAAAACTTCGAGTAGTCCTTGGACACGACTTATTATTAAATTGCATGGGATATTACAACCTCAAATGTGTAAACAAGATCAAAAGTCCTCTCTAAAGTGAGACCCCCGCCTCGCTGATATCGAAACACTCAACAGGTACAAAATATACCCCAAGAAGCAAAACTTGTAGGTGATGAGTGCAGTAGGGGTATAAGAGGGCAAGCTTGTTGAAGCAAGAAAGCAACGACCCAAAAGCAGGATAATAATAATAGCAAAATGGACAGAATGGAGTGGATGTGCAGCGACCAAAAGATGAACAAATGCAGCGGGGATCCTGGAGCCAGTCCAAGAAACAGGAGCTTCCCCGTCTCCAAATATGAAGGCAAAATATAGACAAACTGATTTTGAACACAAAACAGAAATGCAAACCGACATGCCCAAACAGAACAACAACATGAGATGCTCAACCATAATTTTCATACACATTACAAATTCCAAGCTCGCTGTGCGGAAACAACCGTAAAATAAATCAGACGCCATCTCAACATTACCATGGACAAGTCCAATAAGATGCTTGAGAAACCAAAAGAAAAAGCAAAAGAAAAAGCTGATAGAGAGGAGAGGTATAGGCTTTGATAAAAACAAGAGAGAAGAAAGGAAACAACAGAGAAAAAGAGTGGGGGAGATAGTAAGGGTTCTGTTGTCACACGTCGACGAGACTAGTTGCCAGTGATTTTGCGCCACCAGCTGCTGCGTGGTGTCGTGTCCACGAACACGGGGTCTTGTTGGCCGTTGCGCCCATCGCTACCGTCAGAGCCACCGCGCCCTGTACGATCGCCACGGTCAGCGCGCTCGCCACGTTCACGCCGTTCGCCACGCTCACGGTCGCGATAGGACTTGTCTTGCCCGCGCTCACGAGCACGCTCCTCACGACGAGCACGGCGACGGCGGTCATCCTCAACCTCCGCAGCTGTCATTTCCCCGTCATGGTAGCGCTGGCTCGTACGACGGCGTTCGCGGCGTTCCCGACGTGCTCCATCATCGTCTGTGGGCGTACTACCGTCGCCGGCAGCGGCAGCAGCGGCCGCGGCAGCAGCAGCGTCTTGCTCAAGTGGCGGTGGCGGGGCGTCTGAATGCTCTTTGACCCATGAGGAGGTGCCCGAGTGCGGCCAGCTAGGTTTGACGGCACTGCTGCGCTTTTCACGGCGTTCCCGGTCGCCACGTGAGTAAGTCTGGTAGTCTTCCGTGTCGGACTGTCTGCGCGATGTCTTGCCTTCCATGTCGCGGGACACACGGCGTTCACTGCGGCGTCGTCTGCGCGCGTCGTCGTCTTCGCGTTCGCTCTCCCGGGTAGCCTGGGAGACAGCTTCGGCCTTGCGTCGCTCACGACGCGCTGCATGACGCGCTTCGGCATCGGCATCTTCGATATGACGCTCCATTTCGGCACGCTCACGCTCCTTCCGAATGCGACGACGCTCGGCACGCTCGTAATCGGCACGTTCACGGTCAGCATGTTCGGCCGTCTCGCGTTCCTGCGCCGCCCGTCGGTCGCTTTCTTCACGATGGCGCGCGCGCCGTTCAGCGCGACGGGCCTCGCGTTCTTCTTGTCTGCGCGCTTCTTCCGCCTCTTCGTGTCTGCGACGGCGTTCGCGGCGTTCCTCATCCTTAGCCCGGCGTTCTTCTTCGGCGGCGCGTTCAGCGGCTTCTCGTTCAGCGCGACGTGCGCGACGTGCTTGACGGCGCGCTTCTTGGTCGGCATCCGTCACGTTTCCACCATCTTCCACGTCGGTTGTCACACCGCGGTCGCGGCGGCGGCTACTGCCACTAGGTCGTGGTTCGGAGCGAGGCACGGGAGTCTCAGGTGTAGGGGTAGACGAGATCTTTCCAAATAGGCCGGAGAACCCGGAACGCTTGGTAGAGGTCGAGTTGGAGCGCTTGAGAGGAGCCACGGGGTAAGCGGCAGCGTCGGTCGTGACGTCATCTTCGTCCTGGCGGCGGGCCTGGGCAACGAGACGCGCTGTTAGTAAAACGTTTCTGTTATGTGAAGCGTCTGGGGTCAGCCGTACCTTTGATCTACGCCGCTCCAATTTGTCAGAATTTGCACCGTCCACACCAACACCCAGGATCTTGGCCGCCTTAGACGACATCTCGGCAGGCTCGGGTGGGGGCGAAATGACACCATGAGACATGTCGACGGAGTTGCGCCGCGAGCTGCTGTGTCGCTTCTCGCGCGTTGAGGTGGATCGTGATAGCGGCGGCGTGCTGGTAAAAACGCTCTGACGGCGAAGCATCTTGGCGGGCGTCTCTTTGATGGTACCCTTGTCTAGCTTCACCGAACGGTCATGGTCGGCTTTGTCGGATGCGGACGATTCTTTGGAGGAGGACGCCTTTTCATCTCGTTCGCCAGATACCTTTCTAGAGCTGCTGCTCTTGGACTCTCTCTTCGATGAGGAGCTTTGGCGCATCTCGCGACTCTTGCTCGCGGAAGAAGGCTGTGGTGTTGCAGCACTCCACATGCCCCACGATGAGCTGCCATCGCGACTAATCTTAGCGCGTTCTTTCTTTGCGGATCGCGACTCGTGCGGTGGGGTAGTTGGATCTTCGGGAACGGCTGGGGGAGCAGGAGGAGCCGGTGGCGGCGGCGGCGGCACAGCTTCGACCTTGGACTTGGACTTGCTGATGGTGCCCTTCTTTGATTTCTTCGTTGGCGCCATGTCTACAACAAGCTCGTCGTCGTGGCTCTGCTTGTTGGCGTCGTCAGCGCCGTCATTTTCCTCGACGGAGAAACTCAGCGGCGATGTGAAGGACCACCGAGAAGTTCCCTTCTTTGTGACAGGAGCTGGCGGCGGGGGACTGGGTTCACGCTCTTCTTCGACGACGATCTCCTTGTCTTTGGATTTGGACTTTTTCTTCTTCTCCTTCACTGTTTCTGGCGCAGGAGGAGGAGGCGGTGGTGGAGGGGTAGGTTCTTCGTCAACAGGAGCTTTTTTGCTGTCGTCGGCAATGGATTCGAATATTTTGAGGCGATCGGAAATCTTGCCGCCGACCTTCTTGACTTTGGAAGAAGACGCGGTAGGCGGCGGCGACGACGCGACAACGTCCCTGTCCTTATCCTTGTCCTTCTCCTTTTCTTTGGTCGCCTCCGCAACGGCACTGCCCTTTTTGGAGCTCTTGGTCTTGAAGCTCTTAGCGTCCTTTGTCGATTCCAGAACCTTCGCTGACTCATCTGCCACTGTAGCGTCCGCCTCGGCTGCTGCCGCTTTGGCGCTAGCGCTAGAACCTGTCGGTTCAGGCAGTGAACTCTTGCTCTGTGTCATTTTCTTGGCCGTGCCCCAGAAGCTGAAGGAGTCGTTTTTGGGCGCCAGAATCTCTTCGACCTGTTCAGGACTGAGGTTGATGAGGTCATCTTCGAGGTCTTTGAATAAGTCGTCGCCGTCGTCACCGTCCTTGCCCTTGGACTTCTTGTCTTTCTTGCTACTCTTCTCCTTTTTCTTGTCTTTGTCTTTGGAGTCTTTGGAGTCCTTGGAATCCTTGTCGGCATCCTTGTCCTTCGATTTGGACTTGGACTTGGATGCCTTCTTGGCAGCAGCTTCGGCCTCAGCCTCTTCACGCTCGCGCTGGGCTTGCTCTTCCGCCTCGCGGGCCGCTTGCTCCTCGGCCTCCTTGGCAGCCGCCTTCTCTGCAGCCTCCGCGGCCCGCTTTTCAGCGTTTTCGTTGAGCAGATCGAGTTCGCGTTGCTCCTTCTTAGTAAGCTTGCGGCCGCGATCTTTCTTGGATTGGAGCGTCGTGCGCTTTTCTTCCTCCTCGGCGATCTTGGCCTCCTCCTCGTCGCGCGCAGCCTGCTCCTCAGCTTCGATGCGTGCCTTTTCGTCAGCCTCGCGCTGTGCTGCCTCCTCTGCCTCGCGAGCAGCTTGCTCCTCAGCTTCGCGAGCTGCCGCTAGTTCGGCCTCCTGTGCTTCTAGAGCCTCTCTTTTGGCCTTCTCTTTCTCTGCCTTCTTCTTTTCCTTCTCAAGCTTTTCCTGCTCTTTCTTGGTCAACTTCGGCTCCTTCTTCTTTTCCTTTTCCTTCTCTTCCTCCTTGTCCTTTTCTTTATCCTTCTTCGACTTGGACTTGGATGGAACCTCGTCCCAGATATTCTCCTCTTCTTCTTCCGGCGGTGGAGGAGTCGGTTCGCGTGGCGGTGGGTCTGGCTCGGCGTTCTTGGATAGCTTGCTCTTCTTCTTTTTCTTGGTTGTCATGCCCCACTCGTCTTCAGGTTCGTTGGCTGGCTCCTCGACAATGGGTGGCTTTTCCTCATCTTCGGCCACCTTGCCTGACTTCGTCTTTTTAGAAGACGTGCCCCATCCGCCCCACAAGTCGTTGGTTTCATCTTCCGGAACAGGTTCGTCGGCGGGCGCATCTTTGGTATTGTCGATGTCCTTCTTCTTCTTTTTCTTGTCGGCCTTACCAGAAGAACCCAAACTGTCGAAAAAGTCAACGTCATTGTCGGCCTTTTTGTCATGAGACGGGTCGTCGACCTTGTCAGGCTCGCCCCAGACATCGCTGGTGGCCTTCTTAGACTTCTTGGACTTCTTGACTGTCGTGCCCCAATTCATCCAGTCGTCGTCGGCAGCAGGAGGTGGATCGTCGGCAGGCTTGATTGAAGCATTGTCACCATTTGAAGAGGCTTCATCCTTGCTCTTCTTCTTCTTGTCCTTCTTGGTTGTAGTAGCGCCCCAAGTGTCCCAAGAGTTGTCCTCTGTAGTCTTGCTGATGGAGGCGCCGTCGCCGTTGGTAGAGCCATCATCTTTGCCCTTCTTCTTCTTGTCTTTCTTGGTCGTAGCGAAACCCCAAGGATCTTCTTCTTCCTTTTTCTCGGCCTCCGGTTCGGGGGCTGGCTCATGCTCCGGTTCAAGCGTGCCGGCGTTCTTCTTTTTCTTCTTGTCTTTCTTCGACAAGCTGAGGCCCCATGCATCGTCTTCAGGCTCAACCTTGGTAGGCTCTTTTTCAACTGGCTCGGGCTCGGGTTCGGGGTCGGGTTCGAAGACAATGGCGTTCTTCTTCTTTTTCTTTTCCTTCTTTGAAGTAGCAAAGCCCCAAGGGTCATCGTCAACCTTCTTCTCTGGGGCCGGCTCAGGTTCAGGCTCACGCTCACGCTCTGGAACCGGCTCAGGTTCCGGTTCAGGCTCGACGACAAAGGCATTTTTCTTTTTCTTCTTGTCCTTTTTCGAAGTGGAGAAGCCCCAAAGATCATCCTCAACCTTCTTTTCCGGTTCTGGCTCAGGCTCTGGCTTTGTGGTTGGCTCAGGTTCTGGTTCGGGCTCTGGTTCTTTGACCGGCTCGACAACAGCGTCCTTCTTTGCCTTCTTCTTCGATTTCTTGGTCGTTGTGCCCCAAGCGCCCCAAGGGTCTTCTTCAGCAGGTTTCTTCTCGGGCTCTGGCTCCGGTTCGGGTTCTGGCTCGGGCTCTGGAGCAGGATCAGGAACCACCTCAACAGCGGCGGCACCCTTTTTCTTTTTCTTCTCCTTTTTGGTTGCGGTCGTGAAGCCCCATGGGTCCTCCTCCACCTTCTTCTCTGGCTCAGGGGTCACTTCCGGTTCAGGCTCCGGTTCTGGTTTGACTTCTTCTTTGACAGAGTCGACGATGGCGTCCTTCTTGCTCTTCTTCTTTTTCTTGGTGGTAGTCGTGCCCCAGCCAAAGTCATCTTCAATCTTCTTCTCCGGCTCAGGTTCCGGCTCAGGTGTAGGTTCAGGTTCTGGTTCCGGTAGGGTCTCTGGTTGAGGTTCACGTTCGGAATCTAATTCCTTAAGTTTCTTGGTCGCAGACGCCCAGATGCTGGAAAAGCCCCATCCTTTAGAAGGAGCAGGCTCGGGTGCTGGCGGTTCGGGTTCCGGCTCGGGCTCTTTGACGGGTTCCACAATGTCACTCTTCTTCTTCTTGGACTTTTTGGTGGTAGTCGTGAAGCCCCAGGGGTCGTCCTCAACCTTCTTTTCTGGTTCCGGTTCCGGTTCTGGCTCTGGCTCTGGCTCCTTGGGTGGATCGGGCTCAGGAACGACAGCGACCGTAGCACCCTTCTTCTTCTTGGACTTTTTGGTGGTCGTTGTGAAGCCCCAGGGGTCGTCCTCGACCTTCTTCTCCGGCTCAGGCTCGAGTTCCTTCTTTTTGGCGTCGGTCTTGATGGAGACAAACGAAGGGAACATGGAATCGGCGGCATGCTTTGCGTCGTCTTCGGCAGACTTTTCCGGTTCCGGTTCTGGCACAGCATCGGCTGCCTTGGCACCCTTCTTCTTCTTCTTGCCGGTGATTGGAGCGCCCCAGCCAAAGTCAAAGTCGTCCGTCTTGGTCTCTTCTGTAGGCGGTGGTGGTGCTTCGACGACTTCCTCGACAACACCAGCCTTGGACTTCTTGTTCTTTTTACCAAAAAAGTCAAAATCGTCGTCAAAGGACGTCGTGGCCTTCGCAGGCTCAGGCTCAGGCTCTGGCTCTGGCTCTTTCACAGCGCCAGCCTTGGCCTTCTTCTTTTTCTTGGTCGTGACGCCCCATCCAAAATCGTCTTCGACTTTCTTTTCCGGTTCAGGTTCGTTTTCGGGAACAGGCTCGGAAGTCTTTTCGTCGATCGTCTTTTTCTTAGTCTTCTTACCGAGGCCCCAGACGTCCCAACTAGACTCTTCCTCCTTCTCTGACGGCTCTGACCCCTTAGGAGGCTCTGCTACCGGCTCTGGCTCGGGAGGATCAAAGATACTGCTGGAAACGTTGTTCTTGCCGACCTTTTTCTTTGTTTTCTTGGACGTCGCCATGCCCCATGGGTCGTCGGCAGCGGCTGCGGGCTCAGGCTCCTTTGCGGGCGGCTCATCGGGCACCGGGTCATCGAAGAAAGAAGAGGTGGTGGCCTTTTTCTTCTTGTCTTTCTTGGAGGCAACAGGAGAGAACCAGTCATCTTCGGGCGGCGTCTCCTTTTTGGCTGGTTCAGGTTCAGGTTCGGGGTCCTTGGCCTTCTTCTTCTTGCTGCCGATCGTGCCCCACTCACCCCAGGCGTTGTCCTCCTCCTTTTTCTCTTCGGCAGGGTCGTCGTCGCCCCAGAAGCCGGACTTCTTTTTGTCCTTTTTGTTGCCAAAACTAAAGCCGAAGCCGTCGTCCTCTTTTTCCTCCTCCACTGGAGCCTTCCCGGTAGGCTCCTCCTCTTCGCCGAAGGCGCCAAAGCTAATAGTTTGCTTGGTCTTTTTCTTCGGCTTTGGCCGATTGATGCTCCATGGATTGGAGTCCTCTTCCTTCTTCTCTTCCACAGCAGGGGCAGCCTTTTCTTCCGACTTGCCAAATCCCCACGCGGAACCCGTGTTCCATGAATTGCCCCACGTGCCAAAGGATTGTGATGTTTTTGTCGTCGATGAATTGCCTATACTGAAGTCCAATGTCGGTGTTGTGTCGGTCAGTTTGATTTCTTGAAAGGCATCAAAGTCGCCAGATGGGGCGATGTCAGGAAGCAGGTCGTCAAATTTGGAGGTGGCCTTCTTGTCGTCGTCTTCAAGCGAAAAAAGATTGGTCTTCTTGTCCTTCTTCTTCTTGCCGCCTACTGCGGTAAAGTCTCCCCATGGGTCGTCGGCGGGTTTGTCGTCCTTCTTCTCATCGTCTTTCTTGTCGTCGCCAGAGCCACCAGCACCACCACTGCCCGCGTCTTTGTTTGCCTGGTCGTCGGCGTCCCCTTCCTTTTTCTCACCTTCGTCACCTCCACCTCCACTACCATTGTTGTTGTTGGTGTCGGCCCAGTTGAACTGTTGCGTTACCTTCTTCTTTTTCTTTGCGGCTTGCCAGAAACCATCGGTGGAAGAGAAGTCGATAAAATTCATGTTGGGGTCGCTGAAGAGGTCTCCAGAGTCTTTGCGACCGGGGCGACGAGAGCCACTTGCTGCTGTTGCCGGTGGTTCACCACTGGGTCGATCCAAGGGGTTTATGCGCCGATCTGGGACGGCATCGATGTGGTGCGGGTCGAGAAGGTTGCCGTCGTCTTCTAGTGTACCGGGCTCAGAAGCGCAAGGAGTACGCAAATCACGCGCCCATTTCGGGGAGACGCTGGGTACAATAAGGCGCGATGCGTGACACCGCTCTCTCGGTGGTGATTGTCGCGCAATCGCAAAGGGGCTCTAATCGCAGAATAGCGTTAGCAAACGTTGACAAACGAAAGAGAGCATGCAGCCAGTGAGCAGATCGATGCGATGAAGTGAAAGGGAAAAGGTAACGTTTGATTTGGGGTTGCGTGCCGTTTGCGCGACACGAGATTGATGCGATGCGCCAGGGCGCGTGCCCGCCAGCCACGCTGATGTAGCAGGCGATTGGGAAAGGGGGGTGGTCATGAGATTGAGGGGAAACATCCTTGTATTCTCCGAAGGGGCCTCCACACCAGACGCGACATCCCCCTCGTTTAGTATGTTGCGTAAGAATAGCATGGCAAGGACCGTTTCCTGAATAGGCTTGTTTCAAACAACAACGTAAATGATATAAGAGACGGTGGTTCGAGATACACTCTGGGCAGAAAAGATACCCCTTGATACCAGGCCATCACCAAGCCAGATCGGATGAGAACATGTTCCCGCCCAGTGTGAACAAAGAAAGGTTGTAGGAAATGGATAGAGAGAGGAAACGAGAGCGTTGGAAGAAAAAGGACGTCTTACTCGTAGTTGAAGCCAAATAAGGGCTATGGTGTGAAAGCGCACGCGCAGGTCTTCGGCTGACCATGGCAAGCGGTCGGTGTCGATGTTGGTCGTAATAGTCGCATCATCCCACCCAGTCGTCCTCGTCCCAGGGTGGATTGTTGTTTCGCAGGCGTACCCGGCGTTTTTTATGGCTGCGCTGTCGGGGCGCGACATCAGGACATTGGCCGCGGCCATTGTGAATGTCTTGCAGGCTGACGGTATACTCGGGCGCAAATGTCAAACTCATGGACGCAATGGAAATACGAGAGCCCGCAAGACTCGACGTGTCTAATAGCGATAGCGAGCGAATGGGTGGGAGGGGGTGGGTGGACGGCAGGGAGAGCGAGGGTTTCGAGATATGGGATCGCAAAACAGGTGGAGTCGGTATGCTGTTGTCGTCGGTGATGTCGAAGGTGTTGTGAGAAGACGTCGAGTTCGGCCTAAATGTTAGAAGATTCAAAACAAGGTACATCCACGCGGAGTGCGCTGGACGTCGGAAAGCGTCGCACGCAACAAACGCCTCAACCAATAACGCGAGAAACACGAAACAAAAACGAACGATAAAAACAAAGTCGAGAGTATACGATATAGGGGGAATAGGGGAAGGGGCAAGAAAAGCGAATAGCCCAGAGTCGGTGAGTTTCTGCAACGCGGTTCGCTGGAGAAAAAAAGTCAGTTTTGGTTTGCGGGACAAGTGCGATCTTCTCATTTAAGTAGATTGTGTGTTTGTTTCTGCTCCAGTCTGTTCGTCAGGTTGTCTTGATGTTGCCTTCTTCCGATGCAGCTGCAAGGGCGGCGCAGGCTGAAGATCTTGCTGGGAAAGGGGTGGGAGAACAGGATTGGTGGTTGGCTCTGAGTCTGAGAAGCATTGGGAGGGTTGCTAATGGATATGAGAGGACCGTGTAAGGGAGGGAGGAAACCAGAGAGGCAGAGGCGTGTGGTGGAGGGAGGGAAACGACGGGGAGAGGCCAGACGGCGAGGCCATGGAGGGTGACTCTGTGTGACACACCTGCTGCGAGTATGAAGGACAAGAGTGCAGTAGAGTTGAAAAAGGGGGTGAATAAAAATACAAAAGATCAAATAAAAAACAACGGTGAGTGCCGTGTGAACCAGTCAAGAAAAAGTCAAATGGTGGTCCGGAGTGGCTGGTAGGAGGGGCAAAAGTGACGACGAAAACGTAGAGCTGGGCTGGAGAAACCAAAGGTAGACCAGCCGATCGCACGGCAGACGGTAGACCGAATAGTTGGGTCAAAGAGGCAAAGGCGCTACATACAATAAAAGAAAGGGTGTCTTGCAGGTCAGGCGCGCAGGCGATAGAGGAGAACGGGCAAAATGACGACCAGAAAGGATAAGCAGGAATGGATGGGGGGAAGCGGGCGCAACGGTGTGGGTGGTGTAGTACACGCTTGTTTGTTTGAACTCAAGAGGAGCGGGGATTTGGACAGGACAGACTGAGCAGTATGTGGGCAGAAGATGAGCATCTTCGACACGAACGAAAATCGTAGGAAAACATACCGGAGGCGTGAGTCGGCTGTTGTCGGCCGGCAGTGTTGTGAACGGTAGGCGCCTGCGTAGCCTCGTGAAGACACAACAGGAGGCGTTGCGGAAGAAAAGAGGAAAGGAAAACAAAAGCAAATAAGCAGTCCAAATGCAAAGCAAAACAATAAGAATCCAGAGGCGCGAGAGAGGCAGAAAAATAAGTCACGCTCAAGAAAGGCAAACCACCAAAAGGGTTATGTCGAGCACACCTGGAGCCGTCCGCTTGCTGCTGGTCGTGGGCGAAGCCGACTACTGCACGTCTGCTGCAGGGTAGTGGGAAGCGGGAGCGCAACAGGGTCGTCGTTGGTAGCGTGGGCGGCGGGCAAACGTCGATGACGCCCGTCTTCTCTTCGTCTGTCTTCTTTGGGGGGTTCTTTTCTTTCTTCGACTTCGATGAAATTGGGGCTGAGGGCGTCGTCTTCCGTGCGACGCGGGTTCTTCTTCGGTTCGTATGCGCGCTGTCGTCGTTGCTTGTCGTCTGTTTCCCGGGATGGGAGATGTTGTTGGGGAGAAAAGAGAAGAAAGAGATGCAAGCAGAGCGCGGGAGAGGAAAAAGAAAAAAGGTAAGTAACTTGCGTCGGTGGGCGGAAACTGGGGATGGCCGGGAAGGCACCCGCGTTTGGCACTTAGTGGGCTCTCTATTTGGTGCTAGATACCTATTTTCCCAGCTATTTTATTTTACTTCATGATTCGGGCGGCGTGGGATACGACTGGGGGGTGCCAGCGACCACATGTTCCGTAATAAACTGTCGGCCAGCCACACCTTCCTGGAGAAACAGGAAGCAGGAGACAGAGCCTCTTGGGAGTACTCTGGCTCTCTGGTCAAGGAAGTAGCCTCGCACACCCTCTTTCCTCGTCTGTTCCAAGACATCTGCCAGGGAGAAGGAAGTTGTCGGACGACCCGCTTGATTTTGGGGGCATTTGGCTGATGCTTGCCGTTTATGGATGTCGTCTCTCTGTCTCCTTCCCTGTGTTGGAGTCTTTGCGCTGATCGCGCCTGCCCAGTCTCGCCCAGTCTCGCCCAGTCTAACCGTCTGGGGAACAGCCGGCGACATCGTTTTATTTTTTATTTTACAGGAAGGGCCAGGAAGCTCAAAGTGGGCAAGGACCCTGTTGACATTTCTCTCCCTGGGGCTATCGGCGGCACCTGCCAGTTTTGCCTCCATTCAGTGTTTCTTATTAGTTTTGCATTTGTCTAATTGCATCCTACTGCGATGCTCCGTAATTTGGATCGTGCGGATAAAAGAGGTTGACCAGGGCGTCATAAATAGAGTTTAGGGAGCTCACCATTGACGATGCGTCGCGTCTGCAATACCTTTTTTTGGTCTTCAAAAATGGTACGTCACCCCTCAATTTTTATGTCTCAGTCTAATTTTTTTTTTTTTTTTTACATTTTCCATCTCCCACACGGCTCCTCTCACGAAACCCTCAAATCCACCCCCTGGCCTTGCCCTACTCGTTGCCGGGACAGGACTCTTTGGCGTCTGTGCAGAAGGTAAATATGGGCGCACGGAACGCGGGACGTCAGAGACGAGATAATGTCATTATGGAGAACGTCGTATTACAGGATGGCGACCGCAGCCGATCTTGGGAAAAGAAACAACCAAACGACGTAATTACGAGGTAAGGAAAACTCTTCAGCTGAGTTTTGCCAAAAAGAAAACTAAAATGCCGTGGCGGGGGCTGCTTCAAACAGCCGAACCAGGCTCCGGGACGAGCTTCCCTCTACCATGTTTACGAGAGAGGGAACGACGACGTCGTGAGGACGATGTCGAGACTGCCCAGGGGCTGAAACGCGATCATCCCGCACCGGTTTGACGGAGCAGTCCGTGAGCTACCAGTGACAAGACAAACCTGGGTTGTTTCTCTTCCTCATTGCTTCCATATGTCTTTTTTCTTCCATGACACAAACCTGTGGACTGACCGCCTCGCCCTTTATTTGGTTTTATTCTTTTACTTTTTATTTTTTACACGACCTCTGTTTACTCGTATTAACGGAGAGGCCTAAAAAGCAAATCATAAAACGCGGTCTGCAAATCGCGTCGAAGTCGCGTTGGACTAATCAAGTCAAAACGACACTCGGGACGGGTCGCTATTCGCCGCTGCACCGCCGCGTGGCAAATTAGAGTCTCGGTCATATGTGCATTCCTTTGTCCACCGCCTTCTCACAGTCTACGCCTGGGTATTGATACATCCATCGCTGGGCAGCGATGCGCCATTAGTGGCGGCTGGCCGTACCCATACTTGCTGCAAGCATGCGATGCCACCTAGAGGTACATTCTGGACATGCAATGCGGACTGGACTGATCTGGTGTTGCGGCTCGCAAGGACCTGAAAGGATCACTAAACGTCACTGAGGGTCAATGAAATGTGCGCTACGGAACAAGAAAATAGGACCATCAACGCATTGTTGCTACAGAGTGGCATGACGCGGTTTATCTGCGCAGCGACATAATACGTCTCTGTGAGGTACTCGTAGGGCAGGCTTGGCGTGGCAAAGGTTTTCGATCCTAGTCCATGAGAAGACAGCCGATTCCACTCGTAACTGGCTTTGCGTATGTCGTACTCCGAATTGCATCTGATAGCGCTTGAAAAGAGCCTGTGGTATCACAGGGCAAGCACTCGGCTGACATCATGTATCCAAACTCAAACTCACGTGCTATTTAGTAGACGCCGGCCACCTGTGCCGCCGGCCATATTAACTACCTCTCTTTCTACGTCTGGACCGGTCTGCGGCCTGGTTCTCCGCAGTTGGGTAGACTTGCGTCCCGAGAATACTCGAAGTGTCTATGGAACATCTGGACGACCACCGCCGAGGGTCGTCCAATCGATCTCTTGCCTATCGGAACCCATAATTGCCCCCACAGACAGCAAACGGCAATGTTGCAAAAGAACACAACAGAAGCGCAGAGAAAAAAAGGCCCCCCAAAAAATTGAAATATAATTCGTGTCCGCGCTGCAGCTGTTCTTGCATAGCTGCTTGTAGGAAAGAATGTATATAAAAATTTGAGGTGGCTGGGAAAATTTGAAGGGGAAAAATGAAGCCGAAAACTGCCCAATTGTTTAAACTCCCGCATTTCTTTTTTGCATTACTCGCTGCTTTTCTCTGATGGCAACCCGTACGTCCCCTCCAATCCACATCCAGTGGACCGTCGACTGGCCACCAAACGCTGGTTGGTTTTTGGCTTTCATGCACATTCCCGCTTGGCTCGCTTGCTCGCCCAAAACAGCATAGCGCCTCGCTCACCGCTTTATCGCAAAAGGTGGCGGGAGGCCGGAAATGCAGGCGGGAGTGAGGCAAGACGAAGAAGAGACATGACGAAGGGAAGAGACCACAAAGAATGACAGGAAAACGCGAGTGTGACGCGACGTACAGCAAAAAGATTACCACCAGAAATGCGGAAGTGGGATGGTAGAAAAATTCAGTAGGTGAAAAGAAAACAAATAGAGGGGTATTGACAAGGTTGTATCGGCAGTATTTTTTGCTTGCGTGAGGTCATCATAACTTCTGTTTCTCACCGCCTCTTGCGGATATATGCGTCAATGGCTGAGATGGGACTCTCTTTTCTTGCTGTTCTGTGGCAGACATTTTGTGTGCATCGTCAAAGGAGGCAAAACGTACAAGACCCGCAACGTGGCAGAGAAGCTCTCTAGAGAGAAACAAAACAAGGCGGCGGCAGGGTATCGCATAGTATGTAGAATCATAACTGCAGCAACGCATCCAACCCACCCCGCCCATATGCAAGAAACATACATTTTGGGCATCAAGGCAGCCACGCGTAGAAAGTGTACACGACGTTCGTACATGAGAGCGCGCTATCGCCAATTTCGGACCGCAGGAGTGTCAAAAGAGAGCGGCGCTCCCGGATGCCGGTCAAGGCACCATATGGCAACTGCGCCGAGACAAAACGGCCGTGTTTAATACAAAACGGTGCGGGACCAAGGCGCATGCCGGCCAGGGTCCCGGCGCCGATAAAGGTCCGCGTGGACTAGACTTTGTTTGACGCTCCGAATCAAACTAACGGCCATTGTACAAACATGGCAAGACAAAGGCCCTCTTTCAGCCGGGGAATAGGAACGGGCAAGGGATGATGGATTCGGCCGCATGCAAGCAACGGGCTAACAGTTCAAGTAAAGTGCGCGCATATTAAATCCTGAACAAGGAGAATGGGTCAAACAAGTCACCGTCCAAGTTAAGCAAGGCCTTAAAATCAAAATATAAAAATACCATGCATCGTATGTTCCAAATTGGCAATTGTTAGTAGAGCTTAGCCACATACCTTGAGGGCCTCACTTCCTGGGGATAATGAACAGGATGCCTTTTGAACACACAGAAGCCTCATTGCATACAGACTGGAACGAAGGCTCACTCAGCCTGTTTGAACAACGGAAACACGATGCAGCCACAGTTAATCATAAAAACCGTCAAGTGTTGATAACGGCTGTTGGCCGCAGCACTTCTATCTTGCGGATAGGTGGCTGACGCAAGGCTAAATTTAGAAGGCATATCGCGCAGCCACTGGGGGCTAGCCATTGCCTGCAGTTGGTCAGTGGAGGACTGCCTGAGCCACACACACGGATCTGTTGGAAGGACCGCATGAGAAGCGAAATACGTTTGCTTTTCTGTTTCTTTCTTTTGGGCGGTCATTTTGTTGCTTCTATTTGTTCACATTGCCAGCGCTCTTGCCGCAATTGGACGACTACTTCGCTCCCTGTTTCAGGTCAAAGGGGGAAGGAGGGGAGAGGGAGGCGCGAAAGGATCTTTGAGTCGGCCAACGGAGGAACTCAAGGAAGCAGAACCTAGTTTCGCCTGACACCGCGCCGGCTTCCTTCGCGCAGTCGCAGAACGACAACCCGACTGGGCAGCTGCTCTGGCTGTAACTGTATCTCATGGAAGGGTGCACGTGCGGCCTGTGAGCCGACATAATAAGCTTTTTGAAGTGCTGCGCCGGCGCTTGTTGCTTTTTTGGGGTCCCGCGTTAAGGTTTGGAAGGCGCGACCGTTCTGACCTTCCCGCTACGACAAAACAGCTAGCTACCTTTTTAGGGTGGTCGCATCTCAAACATCGTGCTCGAGGACAGGCCCCTCTTCTCACGCCCAGTTTTCTCACTCCCAGTCAGCTCTCACAAATCTCACCTCGTTCGAATTTCGCCTTGACACTACTAGTTCTTCGTTGTCTCCTGTTTCCCCTGACCTTTGCATCATTCCTGCCAATCCCATCTGGCCCAGCGCATTGCTCTGCCACAGTGACATAAAAGCAACCTCCAGCCGCCGGAACCAACGAAACAAAGACAGGGTCAGCCTTTGAAACAAATAAAGAAACAGAAACAAAAGGGGACGGCTGTCAAGCCGGCTCGGAAGAAACATTGGTTACGCAAGTCGGAACAGCGAGACAATGCGACGTTTCTCAACGCAGACTTTCTAAATCTGTCGACCTTTATATACTCTCGACGCCAGCGTCCTCTACTGCGCGACGATCAAGCCAGTCTCACGCTCTCGTCTGTGCTTTCTTACAATACTCACAAACAACCCGACTGCCGATTGTTGTGCCTCGTCTTCTACCAAGAACGGGCTTTCATCGCAGGCACAAATTTTGCGCCCAACACCTCACGTCCGTCGTCGGCACATCCATCATAAAATCCTCTCCCGTCACCGCCAGAATGCCGCTCCTCACATTCAATCTCTCGTATCCGCTGCCTGCCGAGTGCCAGCCCCAGCGCGTCCTTGATGCCCTGCACCGCTACGAGCCGCTCATTACGCCCAACCCCTACTTGGCCTCCTGGCGCCGCCGGCCGGTCGATCTCACCGAAATCGTCGACGATCCCTTTTTCACCGAGGATGGGACGGCGTTGGCCGCCTTTGAGGTCGTCGAGAACATTGTGCTCGTGCCCGGCGTCGCCTCAAAGGATGTCGTGATCCCGTGTGTGATGCAGCGGTTTGCCAACGGGGTGCGGTGCCGGAGCGTGGCGATGGGCGGCGTGCGTGTTTGGAGCACCTGGCGCGTGCTGCCCGCCGGACAGTTCACTTCAGACATTTCTACTCCGTCCAGCAAATC